ATCTGTTCAAAATAAAGGGGAAAACATCTGACAACTGTTCAAACACACTGAGCTGCATCTCTTCAAACCACCAGCAACTAACAGCTCCCAAAGGTTTATTTCGAGTTTGGCCAGATCTATACTGCAAACATTTGAGGCTATCGGCAAAAGGCACAGTGAGTGTAGATGAGACTATACCAGCAAGGATGTCTTTTTGCTTGCTGAAATAAGTTATACTACTAAAAACACAACTGTATCTGCACTAGGAGCTCTTGGCCAGTATAGCACACGGGTACAGCTAGATCAGCAAAGCCCTCCTCATGTAGAACTGGGTCTACATTACAGTTGACTTTTACTCAATACTCCACAAGTAGAGTCCACCCACACTTCATTTGAACCTTACGGACACAGCAAATTCTAAGTCCAGGGTTTATCTATGCTAGAGGGTTTTAGAATAGGTCAACTGACAGCCAGTTAACTCGAGTTAGCCACTGTGTTTGTACATGCTAGTCTGGACTCCACAAATGCGTGCGTCTGGGAACAAGTGTTTGTGGAGTGAACAGAACAAGCACATACAAACGTGTTAGCTCACTTGAGTTCATTGGCCAGTGAACTCAAGTTGAAAGACTTTAGTGTAAATGAACCCCTAGTAGAAAAAGTAGTGCAAACCCTATTCCTTAATTCCTGTTCTCTTCACCCATCTCCTTACAGCCATTGCATGGTGTGACGAAGTGGGGGATTTTCTTGTTTTTGGTGGGGTTTCAATGGTTTGCATGGGGAGGGGGTGGGACTCAGTTTCCCTGGGTGTTACTGGTTTAACGAGGTGAGGGGAGAGGGAGTTTGTTGTTACAGAGGACCGGAGAGGGAACGTGGGACCCCAGCCAATGGCCTGGAGGATGGATACCCCAGCGACCGGTGACCTGAGACCCCGACCCGGAGACCCAGCTCAGGAGTTGCAGCCGGTTCTGGCCAGTGGGAGAACAATGGGCTGCAGAGTGAGGACCCAGTGACCTAACCAGCCGGTTCCAGCCAGAGGACAGAAGCGAGGAGAGGAGGCCCCAGTTTACAACCCTGTTTACCTGGAGAGAAGACAATGGACAGAGGCGGGGCTTGGGGCCGGGGAGCTCAGATGCCCAGCTGGGAAGCAGGGGGGCTCTGGGCTGGAGGGGGGAGCAGGCAATGCCCACCTGGATGCAGAGAGACTGGGATGTGCTGGGCTGAGGAAGGCCAGGCCTGAGGCCCTGAGAGTTTCCTATGCTGTGTTCAACTCTCAATAAAGCCTCCTGTTTTATGCTGGCTGAGAGTCACTCCGGTCTAGAGAACAGGGTTGCATCAACCCCTTCGGGGGTGGAGGCCCCGGGGGTCCAGAGTGAGTGGACTCCCTGAGGGGGCCCACGGCAGAGACAGACGTGCTAAGGCTCAGAGAGGTGCGGCTCCAGGAGGTGGAGGGGCCTGACCCCGAGAGAGAGTGGACCCCCGAGAAGGGCTGTTGCACTGAAAGGGGCACCCCCCACGGACCGCATGGGGCCAAGAGTGGGCACGATCTGTGAGTCCGTGACACATGGTTACTGTCTGTCCGGTGGCACAAGTGATTTTTCTGGCCCCTCCCAATATTTAAGTCATGCCTTTATGGGGGCTGTTTCTCCAGATGCCCATGAAATTAATAAGAAGATTAAAGCCACTAACATTGTTTTTTAAAAATGCTTCCTATCTCCATTCCTTTCACTTTGTATAACATCCAAACTCACCTCTTGCATTCTGTAGCTGACCTAGTTATAACAGCAATGACTGGTGCAGAATCCAGCTACTGTGGGGATGGTGGCCATATAGTTACCTAGACAGTTCAAGGAGAAAGGAACCAAATATGCGCTCTGCCTGCTTCCCATCAGTCTTGGGCCTAGTAAGGTTCTGTTTTATATGTCATTTAAACCTCCCCTGAGAAGAATTATTGTATTGCACATACAGGGATGTAATACACAGTAAGAAAGCATTGTGTAAATGGTATTACAGCAGAAGTTCCATTAAACTTGGCCATTCACCAACCCTTCTCTGGAAAAAAGCGAAGTCATTGGTGATAGAGAGGAGCAGAAAGGTCCCAATCCTTACCCCAATGAAAGGGCTCGTCTGTATGATGCAATTAGACTGGTTTAACAAAGGTGTGATTTTAAACCCTGTGCAAGAGGCTGTGTAGACAGTCTTCAGTTTAAACCAGAATTTTTTCAGTTTATCTTAAATCGATTAGGAATGGGTTTAAGCCAAATTGTAGCAAGCCTCCAGTTTAACTAAACCAATGCAAGTCTGTAATGTAGACGAAGCCTTAGTCAGTGACAAAACTCCCATTAACTTTCAAGACAGCAGGATCGGGCCCATATTCACATGCAGGTGGGTGGACAGATAAGTAAACTTGGAAGAATTAGATTTTTATCAGTAAACGTTGGTAAAAGTCGATTTCACCATACACACAAACCGACAATATGTATTTCCATAGATCATCTAAATTTACAGATAGGCAAAGAAAGAAAAATGCTGTTTGAGAACTTATTAGAGAGTGATTTGAGGGTATATGCGTTGTATATTTTACATGGGATGCTGACAATTTGTGTTTTACTGGTTATCAACCTTTAACTTTTTGAATTTCAATGTCTGCTATCATTAAATAATTATTGTCCAGCTCCCTGCATTGTCTGACCCCACATAATTTCCTGCAACTGTGAACATTTAAATCAGTAAAAATTAACAAGTGCTTAAAACCCATAATTTTGCACAACTGTGCACATTTAAATGATAAAAATAGAAAAAAATGTTTAAAATAAACATGGATATTATCAGTCAAAATTATAAAAAAATTAAAATCTGCCAAGCCTAATAGATAAGGCACGCACACATTTTTGCTCTCTTAGGAGCAAAGTGGACAAAAATCCAGCCCCCAGGCTTAGAAGCGTGTAAAATGTCACGGGCTGAGACTTCGCCAAGTTCAACCTCAGGCACATTGTCACATCTGCCTTAGGAGCGAAGAGCTTCTAATGAAAAGGATGACAAGCCACCACTCATGGAGGAATGTGTCTGACAGCTCTTTATTACAGAGCAGAGCCGTCTCATTTCAAGGCCATTAGAAGATTAAATAAACTTGCAGGGAGGCGGGGGGGAGGCACTCAGTCAGCACTCCAGCTATTAAAAACAAAAGAATTGAGGAAGAAGAGCCTTCCTCTACCTGCTTAATGTCTCCATAGGTCAGGCCTACACTACAGACCTATACAGGCGAGTCTCATCTTACGCGCATTTAACATGCGTGAATTCAGCTTTGCGCGGTCGGAAAAAAAAGAAAAGAAAAGAAAAAGAACAATTTAAATACTGTACCTGTAGTATACGGGAGATTCCGCCCGCCATTACACTCAATGTAATTTTGACTATACGCAATTTTCGCTTTACGCGCGGACAGTGGAATGTAACCCCAGCGTAAGATGAGACTCGCCTGTATCAGTTAACTACGTTGCTTAGAGGGGTGGAAATCCACACCCCTGAGCGACAGTTATACCAACCTAACCCCCGCATATAGACAGTGCTCTGTTGACGGGAGAGCTTCTCCTGTCTACATAGCTACCGCCTTTTGGGGAGGGAGATTAACTCCACCAACAGAAGATCTCCCATCAGCGTAGGAGCGTCTTCACTTCCGCGTTACTGTGGCACAGCTGCACGGATGCAGTGTTTTAAGCGTAGACCTGCCCACAGGGAGTACTATTTCCACCAAGACAGCTGAGCTGCAGGCCCCAGCATGGGCTGAGAAGGGTACGATGCCGCAACCTTCTTGTAAAAATTAGGCTTGCCCACACATGATCATTAAAGCCCCAGAAAGGGGTGAATTCTGAGGCAGATTACATGGTGTCAGAGAAGTCAGTGTACGTGGGTGGAACTTTAACTGAGCTAGTGAAAGTGAGTGTGATACCATGGGGCTGTCACCAGGCTAAGAGGGCTCGAGATCGGGGGTGAAGTAGAAACAGTAGCCAACAGGAGAAAAAGCAGTCTCCACCCCAGCTACAAATCTGCCTTCTGCCCCAGGCAGGTAAGTTACACCCCGATCCCCACTGTTTACATCACCTTTTCATTTGGCCCAGCATCCACAAGGCACTTCATGATCCCTCCCAATGACAGAGGCGACAGTAAAGCTTAGCAGTAATAGTGCTTTGCATAGAGCTGTACGCAGAGCAAGCCTCCAAACAGCCCTGAAAGGACATCAGGCAGATTAGCCCCTTTTCAGATCTAAAATGAAGGGGAGCAATGGCAAAGAGTTATGCCTAGAATTACACAGCAAATCAGCACTAGAGTTCTTACTCTGAGTCCCAAACTCCTCCTTCTACACCACGCTGCCTCTGGAGACATAAAGAAGGGATTAGCCCCACACCTTTTATAATCTGCTAAAACAGTTATTTATGGGCTGCAAAGTCAGACTGTGATAACGACAGCAGCATTATGCTGCACATAAAAACAATTAGTCCTTCGGGGCAGTTTTCCCTGCCACAAGGGTTTATAGCTCCTGGGCTCTGCTGCAGATACATGTAACGAAGGATGGAACTCGGGGGCACTTTAAATCAGAATCAACAAAAGGAAAAATATAAATGAACAAATTCCCCTATCCCACAGGCCTCCCGTTCTGGCCATAGCCCCGCATTCAGACACGCAAACCTTACACCCTAGCCATTAACACAGCTTAAAGGTCTCTGCCCCAAAGCATCCCAATAGCTTGTATGAAAGAGAGAGCAAGGAAACCAGGCAGGAGAAACATGATTTGAGTGGCAGAATGAGACTGAAGAGGCTCAAGCGTTCCTGTGTACTGGGCAGGCATTAGTGACCACAGCTACTCCTTTACCCTGGTTTATGGCCCAGATGAGAGACTGGTGGGGGCAGCATGCTGCCAAGGACCTGCGGTGCAAATCCGACCACCTAAAAGTTGCAAGGAAGTCAGGAGTGGGGACTTTGACACAGGAAGAGCAGGAGAACACGCAGGTGTTGATAAGCAAGTTTATCTTTATTAAAAAGACAAAGTTCAATTGAAGTCTGTCTCAGTATTACAAATGCTCAGGCTCAACAGTGCCCTGCATAGAAAGGTGTGTTCCAAAGTGGACTCGGTTGATAGATTAGATCACCAAAACCTATTAACATCTGCCCTAAAACATATATGTTTGCCCTTTCAATTGAACTGATTATCCCTCGACATACAAGGACAGGGCTGCCTGGTTCACAAGGGGGCTCTTATGGTCAAAGGAGCCTACCTCATGCGTACCTAGGGTGTGTGCTTTCCAGTGCTTCCACGCCAAAGCTGTACAAAGGAGTGTCCATAGGAAACATGTTCTCCCAGAAGACCACTCTGATCCAAGCCCAGAAACACAACACGAAACCGTTTAAAATTATTAACCATGGCTTGTTAAAAATGGAACGTTTAGATACTTCACTGAACCTCTGCCTGGGCGAGAAGAGAGGTCAGGAGGCCATTTAATACATACGATGGACAGATGTGCTACAGATCTGCTCCGCTACCAGCAGAGACTCAGCATGGAGCAATACAGCTTATTGCAAGAGGCTGAAAAGGCCTATGATCAGAAGAGGTGCTGGACACCCAATATCCTCAGCTCAGACGCTGTAACACAAGACAGGTTGCCTTAGGGTTTGTCTATATGGAAAGTTTTACCAATGATGCTAATATAAATCCCCATGTGGACACACAAGCCTGGCTTTTGTTTAGCTTAAATCCTGTCCCAAGCAACATAAATTAAACCAAAAAGGGGCTTCTCATACCAGAATAAGAGCATACACATGGTGTAATACTGGTATAACTTTACTGGTTTAAATTCACACCTTATGTTATACCAAAAAGATCTTCCCATATAAGTAAGGCTTGAGAAGCAGAATGCCTGAGAAAATACCCAGCATAGATATAGCACTTCTTACTTTCAAAGCTCTTTATTAAATAACATTAACCCCACAACTCCCAGTGAGGTAGGCAACGGCAAGCTCCATTTTACAGATGAAAAAACAAAGGCATGGAGAAATTAAGTGGCTTGCCCAAGGCCACTGGGGGAAAACAAATGAGATGGTTAGGATTAGAATCCAGGCGTTTCCAGCTCCCTTACCATACGCAGTTCTCCCCTAAGACTTCCAAAGTCTGCTATGTGTGCTGCTGCTTACGAATGGAAGCAGTCTGCACACGTTTCCTTCTAATCCCTGCATCTGTGAATCACTTTGAGTGCCCAAGAAAATGGTGCTACAAACGCATGAAACGGGTCACCTCTCACTCCAGCTCTGTGGCAATAGCACTGGTTTTTCCCACTAGCAGACAGACTTTCTAATCAGGAGTCTTTCCCCTTTTTGTAAGGAAGAGATCAACCATAGTGTAACGTGTTGCTGTTCCACTGAGGGCCATTTCCTAGACCAGTGGACCCCAACCTTTTCCGTGGGGCAGGCGCCGGACGACTACCCGCCGAGGACCGTGGCTGCCGGACAAGCAGCCGCTGAAATGCCGCCGTGAAGCGGCAACGTCAAGAGGCACCACGTTGGGGACCCCTGTCCTAGACTGTTCACCATAAGAGCTACAGCTCTCAAATTTCTTATTCACATTCTGCCTGTCAGAAGCAACATGGCTTAGGGAAAATGCATAAAAAATTGCCACATCAATCCTCATTAAACTACAGCTATGCAAGAGCTAGACATATCATCATATAACAAACAAGAACAGGGCACAGGATGTATCTGCTGAGAGACCTACAAACAATACAACCCTGGGATTAACCAGATCAACCCGTTCCATCTTGCAGAATGGGCTCTATTGGGAAATAGCTCTCTCCACCACCGGGGTTGATTTCGCCATCACTTCCACTCCTCAGTCTCTGAGGCAGAACGTGCTTGGCAGAAGGCAGAGTTGGTTCTTTGACAAATGCTCATCACCAACCCACTGGAGCTCTAAGCCAGCACCGAAAATAGGAAGTGCACATTTTCCCAGAAAATCACTGCCAAGTATTGCTAGATGCCTCTCTCCCTCCAGCTGAGATCAACTCCTTCTGACTGGGTTTCTAACCAAAGTCAAGTTCTCTACTGTACAAAGCAGCAGACTGGCTGCTTAAACCAGGCTTGCCTTGTTGTTTTCCCTGGGCAGCCTGGAGAGAAAGTCTGATCCATGCATCGCCCTATTTTAATAACTGAATCTGAGGCTGGTGAAAGCTGCCACCTGCCTGCTGAGATTGCTTCTGAGTAACGGTGTCCAGCTGCGAAGCAATCACAACTGGCAACTAAGTCACCAGAAACCATCTGAACACTTTGATACCACCTATAACACATCTCGGTGCCAGTTCCATTTTATAGTTGTCATAACTCCTCCATTACATGCAGCCCTGAACAGCAGTCACCCCTCTGAGGTGAATAACCTCTCTTTGCCATAACACGCCCAAGCTGTATATGCATCACTGCACACCCTTCTGGACTTAACGGATCGCAACTAAAAGGCTCCTTGTGCCCTGGTTAATACCCTCCCCTCAGGCTCAGGAACACCGTGCTCCTGGCACCGTGCTCCTAGAACAAGGTCCAGATCAATTCAATCTGGACATTTCAAGGGAGTCCTGCAAAAAGCCCTTACATCAACACTCGCCGTTTCACGCAGGGAACCAAAATATTTCCCAATGACGAACAGGGTTCAGTGATCATGGGAAAATATGAGTGAGAGCCAAATTCACCCTGTTGTGCTCTAGTGGAGTATCCCCATAGCTGTATTTGGCTCTGCGTGTTTCACACCATCTGTTGTGAGGAATAGCATTCATCCAGAGGGGTATATTAGTATCCTTACAGGAGAGCAGGGATTGGAGTGGAAGGATATGCAGGAAGAATATTCAGTACCATTGAGCACATCATCCTGAGGAGTGATCTAGAACTTCAAAACTGACCAATGCATCACAGGAGTGTCATCAAAACCTTGGTCCCCACTGGAAATGGGAAGAGGAACCTATCAGCAAGAAGAATAATTCACTATCCTGATGTCTGTGCACAGTCATGACAGAAATTTAGACTCCCTCCTGCAATGCCCCCATCTTTCTCCCTTGCTGCCACCAGCTTTCCTTACAATAGGGTGACAAGTGACTGTAAGTAGATAACAGATATGGAGGATGACAATTAGAAAATGCTTCGCTATTTGAGACTTGGCTACCACAGCGTGTCTGTTTGTCAATATCCAGTTGCCTACAGAGCTTTGTCACCCTGCCTGACAGCTTCTTTTAACACCAAGGCCCTTTCATCTCAGGCAGAAGGGTCTGAGAATGAGAAAATTTTAACAACAAGAACAGAACTTTTCATCCTACCAAGTCTTGTGAGCTTCTTAGCTGTACAACTTGCAGTTCTGGCCCCCAGCTACTTAAAGAGGGAGTGGAAGTTCACTGCTTTTGGCTTAAAGCTCAGTGCAATGGACCAGCTGTGTTCCATTTCAGCACCTATACACCACAGCAATGGGTGCTTTAGAAATGCCTAGGTAGAAAGGAACTAGCAGTGGTAGCACCAGAATCTGCTGTCTTCCATAAGTCAGCAGTTCTTGATGGACACCCCATGCCCCATTTCATATAGCCATGATGTTTGGAAGCGTAAGCTCAAGATTTGGCAAAAGGGGGGGTGGGAGGGAACAGACCAGGTGGTGAGGATGAAGTTTATCAAGAGGAGTGAAGTAGCACCATCTGCTTTACCGTGATGCTGACAAAAATAAAACATTCAGTAGCGACTTTCATGTGCTACAGCATAGGAGTGGAGCTGCTGAATCCCCTTCATGTTGTATGGGGATGATTCACAGATTGGGGAAGGGACAGTTCACATTTAAGGCTCAACCCTGCTCCTATTGAAGTTAATAGCGAAAGTCCCTTTGAATTCAATGGCAGTAGCATCAAGTCCTTGAAATGTCTGTCTGCTCACATGGTGAATTGCAATAAGCACCGAGAGAAAGCCAGAGACAGTTAATTCAATCCTCTTGCCAGAGAAGAAGTTCCTAAGACACCACTGGAAGTCTCTAGTACAAGAGAAACTGCTTATCTCAACAAGACCAAAGCCCATAAAATTCACATGGAGTCACTGGCTCGAGCCAGCCTTCTTGCTCTGGCCCCATCCATAACAAACCTCCCACTCGCACCCCGAGCTCTGGCATGAACACTCAAGTCATGGGGCTACAGCAGCTCTCGCCATTACAGTTTGGGCAGCGTGCCTGCTGGTGCCAGTATAATACCAAAAACGTAGAAGAGCCCCAGCAGGAGGTTGAGCTTGGCTGTCCGCTGGGGAATTTTGCTGAAGCTCTGGCTCCGGAACTGCCTCTCCAGCGAAAAGGCCATAGGCATGGTGAGTAGTGGCAGCGCCATACTGATGGTGTAACGCGTGGCCAAGATGCAGAAAATCAGGTAGGGCAGGAAGAGCAGTGTGTTGTAGAGCATGTAGGAAAACGTGGGGCCGATGAGGATAGCCAGGGTGACAATGCCTGCCTGCCGGTCAGACTCCATGTCCCGTGTGTTGTTGCTGTGCAGGATGGCCTCAGTACTGAGGGCTAGTGGGACAGCATAGAGCAGCGGTGAGACAGACAGATAGCCAACCTGCACTGCATGGGCAAACATGACAGCCAGAGGCCCAAATGTGATGAGGATCACCAAGTCGCCAAGTGCAACATATTTAAATCCAATTCCTGTGGCAGGAAACAAGAGGAAAACAAGTGTTACCAAGTGAAATTCACTTTATGGAGGATAATAGATGTTACTCAAACAGATCAGCAGTTCCTAAAAAATGCGGTAAAACAGCCAACACAAACTCAGCTAGGGCAGGGCTACACATGCTCTTTTATTGCCCCAGAACTGATTATTATTCTCCCTTTCCAAAGATAATAAAGCAAATACAATGTCTGCACTTCTCCAGTCTCACCCAGTGAGCAAAGATTATGGGGCAGATTCCAGTTACCATCTGGAATACGTTGTTCCACAAGCAGTCACACTGAAGTCAACGGGATTACACATGCAGTAAGGTGCTACACAACGTGAGTACAGATATTCGAATCTGGTCCTGAACAGACGCAACCATCAGGTTAGACTAACAGCTGCTACATCTTTCAAATGATATCCTCCAAATCCTAGAAATTGCTTAATCTTATCTATAGTAAAACACTGGGTGTCTCTTCAACCACCCAGCTGCAGAACTGAAGAGGCAAAAGACATTTTTATCTTGATAAGCCCCACAAAAAAATTTGTGTTCCTACTCTACATCAGTGTTACTCATTAATCTTGGGTGCATTTCTTAAAGCATGTCTTAAGTTTACTTTTCATTTGAAACTAGATCTGGCTAATAAGAAATGAGGAACCGTTCAGATAATACAAACTGAGCTCCATCCCTGGAGAAGAGAACACAGATAATGAACCAAACCAGCTGACATACATTTCACACACAATTCCTGCCACAGACTCAGAGTATGGAGTGCAGTTCTTACCTCCAGTATAAAGGAAGGAGCTGGAAAGTCCCCCAAAGTAGATCAGGGCCAGGTGCTCCAACTTGAGAGTGGAGAGACAGTAGAGGCAGGCAGCACAGATACAGCCCAGGGTATAGAGGAAGACCCCAAACCGGACCACATCTTGAGGCTCCAAGATCTGGTCCACCAATGTCCGGTCATCACTCTTCTTGTGGTCAATGCCCTTGGAGAAGTCATAGTAGGTATTAACCAAGTTACCTGCTCCATGCACTGCCAGGACAGCCACTGCACTGCCCACTAGCAGCCCTGGGTCTAGGGATCCGTGGGATCGATAGGCTAGGGCACTGCCCAGGGCTACTGGGGTCAGAGAGGCGCTGAAGCTCCAGGGCCGCAGGGCCAGAACGTAGGCTGCACATTTCTGCCTCCAGGTGCCTGGGCGGCTCTTCGCAGAGCTGAGCAGCCCGATGCCCAGCTCCCCCACGTCACCTCCTCTGGGGCTCTCAGCGCTGATGCTAATCTTCTCGGTCTGATCCTCAGCCTCCATGCTCTTCACGCAGCTGCCTCAGGAGAAGGTGCTGGAGAGAGACCTGGGAAAGGAGGGGGAGTTTGCATCAGGAAAGGGAAACCCCGGGCCTTGCCAGTGACTCACTGATGATACCCAGCCCAGGGGAGAGCTGCCAGCCTGTGGCGACACCTGCCCCACAACCTGAACCTCTGCAGCTGCGACCGCCGAGCAAAGGACCCCACAGCATGGAGAGCGAGGGGCAGGCCCCTTCCCAGGCGGGGCACCACAGCGGAGAAGCGGGGTCCTTCCCCAGCTTCCTCCTCCCCATGGGGCACCTCAGCTAGGGTGACCAGATGTCCCAATTTTATAGGGACAGTCCCGATTTTTGGGTCTTTTTCTTGTATAGGCTCCTATTCCCCCCCCCCCCCGATTTTTCACACCTGCTGTCTGGTCACCCTGGTCAGCTCCCCCGACCTCCGCATCCCCTGGGCAGGGCCCAGGGGAGCACCCCGGGTGGGGGGCGGCTCCCAGCCCCGGGCGGGGCTGACGCTGCTCTCCCGTCTCCTGGGGCGGCTCCGGGGCCCCCTCACCTGCTGCGGAGCCGGGTCCCGGGGAGGCCTCTCCAGCTCCGTTCACGCGCGAGCCAGGCACTCAGGACCATGGCAACCAGCCCGCGGGACCGCCATCTTCCCGCGCGTGGGCACCAGCCAGGGCCGATGTACCGGCCCCTCCGGAAACAAGGGCTCCGATCGCCGAGGTTCCGCTTGCTCTGCGGGGAGCCCTGGGCCGGGGCGGATGGGGAAGAGCCCCAGAATACCAGTAATAGGGGAGGGGGGGCGGGGATCTTCCCGCAGCGGGAAGGCGGCACTGGGATGGGAGGTTAAACCTCTTACTCAGGGTCACTCAGCCAGTCCGTGGCGGAGCTGTGGCTTGAACCCGGGAGTCCTGAGCCCCACCCCCCCGTCTTTAACCACCGAGAATAGACTCCCCTACCCCCAGCCCTGCACACTGGTGCTCGGGAGGCTGCAGGCACTCACAGCCCCATAGACTCCTGCCTGCAAGACCAGAGCCTTACCCTCTCCGAGCCTCCGTTTCCCCAGTCTGCAAAATGGGGATCACCGCCCACAGGGATTAATATGTGGGAGCGACTGGAATAATCTGGTAATAAGTGGCACGGGGGAAGCCTAGAAAGTTACTCTGAGTCACTGTTATTCAATTATCACTTCATATTCACCTATTACTGAACATCAACATCGAATCATTAGTATCCATCACAAGTCTGTTTATATGAACGCTTAACCATTAAGATTAGCGGTAAATCATGGATGTTAAACACTTTGTATTGGTTATTGTAGCTATTCGCTAGTTTCCACTGTTAGGCAAACTAGGTATCACAGAAGCGACTCGCTTCTATACGTACCATTACGGTAACAGAGCCTTTCTCCTGCCCTTGGTGCTCTTCAGGACGGGCTGCACCCAGGGCAGTAGAGAAGCTGGAGGAAATAGAAGGACCAAGTGTTCACGCGGCGGAAGAGTCCTACCGTCTCAATGGTTTAAAAAAAAAAAAAAATCGACTCTTCCCTATTTCCGCATGCGCACAATGCCCTGTGGCTTCAGAGAGGGCGGAAGCAATGCGGCTTTCCAAAGGCGGGGCAAGCTCTGAATTCTAACCAATCCGGCGGCACCCAACTTCTCATTGGTGCAGCTAAGTGTCAGTAATCACCATCTGTCCTTTGATTGGCTATGAGCGACTGCACCCGCCTCCGGCAGTTATTTGGGGGTGGAAACACCATGCCCTAGTAACCCCTCCTCACCCGTAAAACTGTTGGCTGCTCCACCTGCTGGTCACGTTCCCCTCAGCGCTGATTGGTTGGCGGTTCTTCGCCGGCCCGGCGGCAACAGTGGGGGAGGGGAAACCCGGGGCCCAAGCTGGGGAACCGGTCGCAAGGGGGCCGGCGCGGCTGGGCCGGCCGGAGGCGGTGAGTGACCCCCTCCCCCTCAGTAGGGACACCCCGGCCTGGCTCCCCTGTACGGGGCCTATGGGGGCTGCCTCCCCTTCCCCACCCCTTCGCCGGCCGGGCTGGCCCAGGCCCTCCGGCAGCCGCAGCCCCGGCAGCGGGGATGGGGCGCTGCCCTGGGGGCTTGCCGGGTGAGCCGAGCCGCGCTGGCAGGGGGCCTCCCGCGGGTCCCTCCCTCCCCCGGCCGGCCGCCCGCCCCCGCAGCACGGGAGGTGCCCGACTCCCCTCGGGCTAGCGCCGGCCGCTGCCCTCGCCTCTCCCGTGCCCCAGGCGGAGCAGTGTCCGGAGCTGTCAGCCGGGCCGGCGGCCGCCGCTCTACCCCCGGGGCCTCCTGGCCCTGCGCCGGTCTGGGCCGGGCAATGGATGGCTCGGACCGTGGCCTTGGTTCTGCGCCGGCTTTCCCGACGCGGGGGATCTGGGCCCCCCACTAATGCAAGCGAGGCCTCTGCCCTTGGCTGTGTGCGCAGGCTCGTAGGCCTTGCTTGCCCGAGGTAGAGAAACTGCATTCACCCCTTTGCACCGGAAAACACCGCTCGTTGGAGAGCTGCTAAGGCATTTCCCTCACCAGGGAAGAGGAGGCCTATTTAGGCGACTCTTCCAGTGTGGGTACCAGCATGGGGAGCCGATCGTGGCTTCTAGGGAGATGCTGATAGCAGGAAGCAACAGAGGGCCCTGTGGCACCTTTAAGACTGACAGATAGTCTTGCTGATAGCAGGAAAGATCCCACACTATCTCCTGATTCCTCAGGGGCATCTGCTGTACCCAGGGATTTTAATGAGGCAGAGTTGTCCCGTGGCTAGTGGGGAATAGGAACCCAGGACTCTTAGGGTTCTGGTCCTAGTTCCCCTACTCACCTGCTGTTTGCTTGCAGCAAAGTACTAGAAGACCTGTGTGTCAGTTTCCTCCTTTCTAAAAGGTTTATTTTTCAACTTTAAAAAAAAAATGCACCCATCAAGATGGTCTCTACACATGCACAACGTTAAACATCCCATTACAATGACTGTTGCTGGCATGAATAGACTCTCAGCCCATAAATATACATTGGAGGTTATAACGCTTACCCTAGGAGTGTTGAGGCTTGTAAAGAACTTTGAGGTTCTTGGATGAAAGGGGTTGTAGGGGAGCAAACTAAAGTAATGATATCAACATGCGCACCAAGCAGTCCTTATCCTCCTTGTAACTTTGCTTGTCTGGGAACGCCTCTGAAACACAACCCTGTCTTGGTATTTGGGCATGTATTTGATATGGGCATGTCACATGTACCCAAGAACGCTTTGTGCTGAGACTGCAGGAATCAGGGAGGCTGAGCTGGGTCTGGTTTGTTTAGGGTGCGCTGAAGGACCTAGCGTGGAATCCAAGGAGCCTGTACCCCTGTCATATATTTGTCGGGGCTCTGTAGCTACAATGCCATCTGAAAGCCCTCTGTTCTTTGGGAGCAGTAAATAGGAGCAGTGTGATGGAGGGAACTGTGATTGGTTTCTGTACTAGCCAAAAGCAATAAACAGGTTTTCTGTCCAAAGGATCCACTGGACTTGATACGCCAAGTCCCAACTTGCCGCCATCATGTCGAGCACCGTGTCCATCCTTCAGCAATTTGCCAGCGGCCTGAAAAGCCGCAATGAAGAAATCAGGGCAAAAGCGGCCAAGGACTTGCAGCATTATGTCACCATGGAGCTCCGTGAGGTGAGTGCTGCAGATGTGGAAGCAGCAGCATTTAGCTGGGGAGACACGTTTGTACTATTTGGCTAGGGAGTGAGGTGTGTCGCTAGGATGCTTGGGGTGGTAGAGATTTGGGATGCTGAGGTAGGTACTAGAGTGGGATGGGCACAAGCAGGCTCCAGAACAGGGGCTGGGTTAACAGGGCAGGGGCACAGGCAGGAGATGTAATTGCTTCTTCTGGGTTTGGATCCCACAGTTAATTTACTGCTTTTGAGTTTGGGAGCCCTGAAAAGTGGTGTTGACCTTTTTTATGTGGGGCATGTGTAATGGAGGAGAGGTTGTAAATTGGTCTGAATTCCTTTCCTGTGCAGATGAGCCAGGAGGAATCTACCCGCTTCTACGATCAGCTGAATCACCACATATTTGAACTGGTCTCTAGCTCTGATGCGAACGAGAGGAAAGGAGGCATTCTGGCTATAGGTGAGTGAAGGACTTCAGAGCCTCTGGTGAACTTCCCCTTCAAATTGCTATTCTATCAGGACGGATTGTCAAGAGAACTTCACGCCCACAAGAGATGCCCAGTATATTTAAGAGAGTTCAGTGCACTGGGTGCGTATGGAATGTAGAGCTCTTTTGAAAATCTGACCATAAGTGTCACAATGGGAGCTGCTGGATGCTGAGCACTTCTGAAAATCTGGCCCTTTTGGTGCCTCCTTGGAAACTGAGCACTTGAAAACCTGACCCCAATGTGGGTGCTGAGCACTTGAAAATCTGGCCCTGAGCTCTTCTGAAAATACTTCTCGTAGTGTCCAGTTTTATTGGTGGTCACAAGAGGCGAAGACTCTGGACTCCCTGTTGCCTGAGAACATTCATTCTTTTTTGTTTAAAGTCACCTGCTCAGGGGCAGCAGCCCCCATCCCTGTGGAGGGATCTAAATGGCTTTTGCCTTCATTTTGTGTAGCGTCTCCCTCAATAGTCCTGTTGTGCTTTAATTCTTACATGGCAAAGCTGCCCAAATGCTGTGACACACAAGGATGCAGGTAACTTGTATAAAAACACACCCTTCCAACCAAATACTCCATATCCTTAGCATTTGCCTTTTGTTAACTACATAGAAACTGCTTGTGGGTTGATTTCACGAACCATAACCAAACCAACCCCAAGGTATCTGGAGGTGGTGGAAGTAACTTAGGAAAAGAAATCTTTGTTGACCGCATCTGATTTCGAAGCTGACAGTATCACTTTAAAATTGTTTCTGTGAATTTAGTGCTGTTGAAAGGTGCCTGATTGACAACCCTGGACACTGATGGCCTCTTTATCTACAGAGCAGGTACAACCCAGGCACCGGCAGTGCAAACTTCAGCCACACTGCCCCCTGTCAGTGTGCCTCAACTTTGACCTGGAGGGACCATCTCTAGGGGTGAGGGAGCGTTCAGTCTCCTTAGTCCATTCAGTCCTTGGCGCCTCTACTGAGACTGTCAAGAAGGGGGCCAGTTGTAGTGGTTGCATGTGGATGCCTGTCAATTGGGAATGGGCCCACAATCCCAGGGTGGAAAATCTGTGACCTGTGGAAAGGACTTGATAAGCTTCCCTGTTTACTAAACAAATTCTGACTTTAAAAGGCTGGTGATCCTTTCCTATTGCTTGATTTCTCTGATGGATTTCTGGCTTAGGAAGAGATAATGGGAGTCTCTAAAGAATGGATAGGGAATACTAACTCTTCTCCAGGGACTACCTTACTGTCTGGCAAGCTGACTCAGTGGCAGAGCTTTCACTCCTGTTCTCCCTCTCCCCAGCAAGCCTTATCGGCGTTGAGGGAGGCAATGCCACCCGCATCGGCAGGTTTGCCAATTACCTTCGGAACCTCCTCCCCTCCAATGACCCTGTCGTCATGGAGATGGCGTCCAAGGCCATCGGGCGCCTTGCTCTGGCAGGTGATACCTTCACGGCGGAATATGTGGAGTTCGAGGTGAAACGGGCTCTGGAGTGGCTGGGAGCTGATAGGAATGAAGGTCGAAGACACGCAGCTGTACGTACTCCTCTTCAGCCTTTCTGGGAAAGGGCTGGCTGCTCATGAGTAGTGGTGATGGGAGCTATGTATATGGATGGGTGGATGCAGCGAATGAGAGCTGTCAGGGACTGGAATGGCTACCATTGTATATCTGAGAAGTTGTGATGCTGGTTAGCTGGTCTGCCATTAATCATGTTCATTATCATAGTCTCTTGGGACCAGCCAAGAATGAGGCCCTGTTATACTAGGCATTGTACAAATGCAGAGCAGATAGAAGGTCCTTGCTCCCAAAAAGCTTACAGTCTGGACAGACACAGGGAAGGGGTCAGTCTCTGAATTCCAATCTGTGCCTAACGCCACCATCTCTCTTCCTCTCTCCAGGTTCTGGTCCTGCGTGAGCTGGCGATCAGCGTGCCCACGTTCTTCTTCCAGCAGGTGCAGCCGTTCTTCGATAACATCTTTGTTGCTGTGTGGGATCCCAAGCAGGCCATCCGAGAAGGAGCCGTGTCTGCCTTACGAGCCTGCCTTATCCTCACCACCCAGCGGGAGCCAAAGGAGATGCAGAAGCCACAGTGGTACAGAGTAAGGAAATAATTCCTTAATCTTGGAACAGCTTTCCTCCAGAGTTCAGAAAAGCCTCAGTGTCCACACCAAAAGCCAAGAGACTGATCCTCATATGTCACTAGGTGTTGGCCGCTCGCAATCAGGATTGAAAATGGTTTGGCCTCTAGAATAGGCTGAACCAAACTGTTTACACTACCCTCTACAAAAGCGTGTGAGACACTCCATTCCACCAGGGCTCTACTGTACTTTCTGTAACTTGTTGCCAACAGTAGAACAGAATGCTCAGTAGTTAGGACACATGCAGATTTTGTGGGTTCTGCTACCTCAAGGTCTCGTCAGCATCAGTGATCAAAGAGCCAATCAGCAATGGCAAGGTTACAACGCTGCAGCCAAGGGTTGTACTTATTTGGCAATGAGTTCTAAATCCACATGTGAGGCTTGAACAATGCAATCAAACTAATTTGACACAGTGAGACCTGAGCACATGTCACACTGGCAACATGACCAGGGTGCCAAGAAACGAAAGGCCTCAACACACATTTCACATAATCCCCATGTACGCTATGATAATGGTGTGCTCTTGAGAGAAGATGGAAGACGCAGGTCTCCTTGTCCACTCTTTCTGTTGAAAACAGTTTGGCTGCCAGAGTAGACTGGGTCAGAACTATTCAGTGCTCTGTTCTAGTGTTGATCAGCTGAAGTTTGTAGCTGTTCCTGGAACTTATGGGCTCCCAGTAACTACTGACTTGCTGTATTCCCTTGTTCTACATTGGGGGGACTTGGTCTCTGTTAAGGTTGCTATTATCTTTGTTCAGCACACATACGAAGAGGCAGAGAAAGGTTTCGATGAGACTTTGGCCAAGGAGAAGGGTATGAATCGTGACGACCGAATCCACGGTGCCTTACTGATCCTCAACGAATTAGTGAGAATCAGCAGCATGGAGGGAGAGGTGAGTAACTTATCAAGATGGCGGCCAGCGTTTGGTGCTATGGTTGGCCGAACGGAGGTGTCTCCGCGTTCAGTTTAATAAAATGGGGCACATGCGATTAATCCATTTGGGTTGAAAATGGGTTGATTGAGCTGGAGAAGTTCATGAGCAACTGGGGTCTAGGGCATTTCATTGTCGCAAACAGTGGCAAAGTGAAGGGAATTAATAGAACAGTAACAAATGTTTAGGGACAGAAGGGTTCATTCATGATGGAAAGTGACATTAAATAGCTTTAAGTGACAACTGGATGTGTGGGGCAACAAGTACAGATATTTGTGGGATATAAACACAAAGGAAGGAGAGGAATTGTGCAGGGTGTTATAGGAGGGTATAGCCAGAGGAGGTGGAAACACTTCCTGGCAGTGAATTAAATGAGATGTTGGGCAGCCTCCCAAGGGAAGGAAAAGGGTGAAAACCCAATTGCTTGGGACTTTTAAAATTAGATTAGAAAAAGCACTAGAGAATGTCCTTCAGGGAACAATTCTGCCTCCGTCCCTTGGGATGGACAAGGTGATTGAATAGGTCTCGCTCCCTCTTTAGTTTCAATTACTCCTCCACAATCTTTTCCCAGTTGTAGCTTCAAACCTTTCTTGCATTATGCTGTCCCCTGTGACCGTATGTGGTAGGACAGATACATCACTGTCTGTTCAATGTGTGTGCTATAGGATGGTCGCCTGATAGGTTCTAACCTTTTATGGATATGTGTTTAATTTAAGCAGCAACTTGGAACCAATTAAATTTGAAATGAAGGTGTGTTCATAAGGGCTGGTGGGTTCATAGGAAGTGGTTGAATGTGTTGGAAGCGAGGGTCAGGTTAGTGCCCAGAACTGTTTAATCATGTGAAACTCAGCACATTCTGAGAGTCCTGCTAGACCAGTGGTTCCCAAACTAGGGGTGCCGCTTGTTCAGGGAAAGCCCCTGGCGGGCCGGGCCGGTTTGTTTACCTGCCGCGTCCGCAGGTTAGGCCGATCGCGGCTCCCACTGGCCGCGGTTCGCCGTTCTCAGCCAATGGGGGCTGCGAGAAGTGGTGGCCAGCACGTCCCTCGGCCCGCGCCACTTCCTGCAGCTCCCATTGGCCAAGAACGGCGAACCACGGCCGGTGGGAGCCGCAATCGTCCGAACCTGCGAACGTGGCAGGTAAACAAACCGGCCCGGCCCGCCAGGGGCTTTCCCTGAACAAGCGGCGCCCCTAGTTTGGGAACCACTGTGCTAGACTGTGAATTCACAGAATTATAGAAATGTAGGGCTGGAAGGGACCTTGAGACATCATCTAGGCCATCCCCCTCCCACTTCCCTTTGGTTGAGGGGGCAGTGGGTGCAGGGTAGGAACAGCATTTCCCGCAAGAGTTAGGGCCACTACCATACCTAGTCTGCCTTGTTCAGTGAATTTCACTGGTTGACCCTGATTCTTTCCCACTCTGAGCCGAAAAGGGAGAATTCTTTGCCTGTGCTCTCTCACTGCTGGCCACTTGGCAGGAAAATCTATTGCATGTAAGGCACCTGGATGTCACGTCTGGTTTGCAGTTCAGTCCGTGCCATACAGCCCCCTTGGTGTGGGTGCCTGTGGTCCATGAGTTTGTTAGTTGTGTGTGTCCTCTTCTGTTTAACTGCCTTTGAAAGTGTTTTTTCCTGTGCCCAGCGCCTTAGAGAGGAGATGGAGGAGATCACGCAGCAACAGATGGTGCACGACAAATACTGCAAAGACCTGCTGGGCTTTGGTACAAAACCTCGCCACATCACCCCTTTCACCAGCTTCCAGTCTGTACAGCCCCCGCAGTCGAACGCCTTGGTGGGGCTCCTGGGGTACAGCCCCCATCAAGGAATCATGGGGTTTGGAGCCTCGCCTGTCCCAGCAAAGTCAACGTTGGTCGAGAGTCGATGTTGTCGGGATCTGATGGAGGAGAAGTTTGATCAGGTGAGCTGTGGGCTTTTCTCTAGCGGCCTCCCAAAATCCCCTACGCAGAGACCAGACTCTTAGTGTGACTTCCTTCCATTCCCTTTGCTGGGAGGCAATATGGCCCAATAGTTGGATCACGGTCACAACCCATTAACTGTGTTCCTGGCTCTGATGCATGGTTTCCTGTGTGTCCTGGAGTGAGCTACTTAACTTCTCTGTGCCTCAGTTTAGCCCTGTGTGGCATAGGTATAATTATAACCCTTCCTGAGGGGCGATGCAGCGGAATAACAGTGGAAAACCTTGCCATCCCCGCATGGCAAGGATGACAGAGCACCCTTTAAAGCCCAACCCCTCTGGTTTCAGGTGTGCCTCTGGGTTTTGAAGTGCAGAACCAGCAAGAACTCTCTGATCCAGATGACAATCCTCAATTTACTCCCACGGCTGGCTGCTTTCCGGCCTTCTGCGTTCACAGGTGAGGGGTCTTGCAGCTGGGCTTTGGCATCTGAAGGTGAGTTGGGGAGGTTCTAGCTCACGTGGTCCCATTGACCTATGTACAGGTAATGCAGCAGCAGAAATCCTAGTGCTTGGCATTGTACAGACTGGCACTTTGATTCCTGCTTTAAGTAGTGGGAATTACTGTCCTCTGGATAGTCTCCTTGACATCTGATGGGAGCTCGCTGCTTTGTAAAGCTGGCAGAGTGAAAGCCCTTGCCTGGACTCCGTGTTCAGTGCCTTAATAAAAACAGGACCTCATTTTCATGCTCCCTGAGCGTGCCATGTTCAGTGCTGAGCTGTACCCTCTTACTCCCTTCACTTATATCCCAGTTATCGACAATGTCCGATCCGGATTTCCCTTCTGTGGATGAAAGAAAATCCCAGCTGGCCTTTCAAAAGTTGAATCACTCAAAGCGCTGAGAACAGGAGCACTGTCAATATGGCTCTAACTGGATTTACCTTAGAGCTTTATTATTGTCTCTCCTCACCTCCAAATCCCAGTCGGTCACTGCAGTAACAAGTAATAAACTGCCTGGCATCTTGCTTACAGGAAGCGTCTTTTAACTACTATTGCCAGGTTCTCTCTTACACTGTTTCTGTAGTGGGGACCGTATGAAAGGGACCACTGGGCTTTTAGCCACACAGGCCAATAGGAAGTTGGTTTCTCATAATCTCATAAAAAGTTTGTGTCCGCTCTATCAGGCCAAATGAACTCATCGATTGTCTTGTTCTGCTCTTGTGATCAGCTGATCAGTACCTTCCAGACACAATGAACCACATCCTGAGCTGTGTGAAGAAGGAGAAGGAGCGAACAGCAGCCTTCCAAGCCTTGGGATTGCTTTCTGTGGCCGTGAGGTCTGAGTTCCAGGCCTACTTGCCCAAGGTCCTTGAAATCATCAAAGCAGCACTCCCACCAAAAGATTTCGCCCACAAGTGAGTGTATGAAGGTTAGAGAGGATCTTGGATAGACACCTGCTGATCATGCCATTTTCGGTGTGACAGTGGGGTATGACAGCTTATTAAACTGATAGGTGTTCCCATGAGACGTTGATAAGTGAGAGGGGTGAAGAGAGATGCAGGATTGCACTCTGAGATAAATAGCTCTTATGGTGTCTGTTTTCAGGAGGCAGAAGTCCATGCAGGTGGATGCCACAGTCTTCACCTGCATCAGCATGCTGGCACGAGCTATGGGACCCTGCATCCAGCAGGACATCAAAGAGCTTCTGGAACCCATGTTGGCTGTGGGACTGAGGTAGGTATAAGATATGTTAGCAAGTTCTCCCATTAGCCACTGGGTGGCATTGTTGGCCATGAGCAACAGTGATCATTGTATGTATAAAAGTGAGTTATGAAACTCCAGCAAGCAGACTTCTTAATCAGCCTTAGAGAAAAGCCTGTCAAATGCTTTCCCTTCGCAAACACTCAGAGATGATATGGTTGTCTGCCTTCCTGAGTTGGAGGAAATAGTGCACTGAGTGTCCTGCTTTAGGGAAATTCCTAAGACATTCCACCCATGCCATTGAGAAGCCAAAGACCAGGATGAAAATAACAGTACGGTGTTACTAAGCTAATTCTTTTTGAGATAAGGGGTGAGAACTAATCTTTAGATCCAAAATCCAAATTCCTTTCAAATAGAAATACTCCAGAAGCTATTCCCTTTTCCTGAGAAGGAATCCCTCCGCTCTTGGGATGGCAGCCAGGGTGAGGGGGTGCATTCGAGTCAGCCAGTTCGCACGCTCCTCTTAAAAGTGAAACATAGAAAAGACACGATTTTCAAACACCGGCAATTTTATCCCGTGATCAAATCCAACCCTGGTTACACTCAGGTGTGTAAAAAGGACATTCGTGCCTTTCTGCTGCTCTGGTTATTCAAGTTCAGCACTTAGGTGAGTTATCATGGCTCCCATGTCTGGAAGTCAGGGCCAGTATTTGAAATTCAGCATGTGGGTGCATTGCTGTGCTGAGCTTCCCGTTCCACGCCTGGTGCTGCCAGCTAGACTCCTCCAGCACTGTCTGTGTGTATACATCCTGCTGGGGGGAGGTTACTCCTCTGAGAAGGCAACAAGCAGCAATTTATCTTTAGTGTGAGATGTCTCTTGGGTTCTGAGAACGTGTCATCGTGGAAAGAATTGCTCTATAAAATAACTAGTCCAAGCGAAGTCAAGAGCAGATTCCCCTGCTTCCCAGCACTCAGACACTCCTTTTAGGCAAAAACTTGGGAAAACAGGAAAACATTAAAAGTCAATGCACTCCAGCTGTGTCAGACCAACAGGGGAAGTGAATTTGAGGTCGGACTGTCCTACCTCTAGCCTTCCCCCACCTTCAGAGTTCATATCTGGGGACTCCTAACACAAGTGTCCCAGCTTATCTCCTCTGCCAGGATGGCGGATTCGGATAAAGGCAGACTTTCAAACAGCTAGCTCCCAGGATGCACAGGGCTTCATAGACTAAAGTGAACTCCTGGACGTGGATTGGTAGCCTTTGCCTATGGAGTATAGGAATGAGGCACACAACACAGCAGGTGCCACTAAAATAAACCTGCAGCTGCATTCTGCTCTCTGTGATACATCAGAGCAGTGTTCAAAGGTAGCCCGATGCAAAGCGCCTTGCACCACTCTCCTCTAGAGTTCCACCATGCAGATAATTCCTGGTAGCGCCTAACACAGCAGTGTGGGCTAGAATCCAAGCTGTTTGTTTGTTAGCTCTGGAGTTTGCACGAAGGCAGCTGTGCTGTGATAGCAGGTGTTGCTGTGACATTATAAACACCCCAGGTAATGTTTTCGTGGGCAAAGTTACAGTCCTGAATGAGAAGCCAAAACATGTAACTATTCTTGTTCCTGTCCTAATGAGTGTCTGCCTGCTTGTCACCCTCAGCCCAGCTCTGACCGCTGTGCTCTATGACTTGAGTCGTCAGATCCCCCAGCTGAAGAAGGACATCCAGGACGGGCTGCTGAAAATGCTCTCTCTCGTTCTAATGCACAAACCTCTCCGGCACCCAGGCATGCCCAAGGGCCTTGCCCATCAGCTGGCCTCTCCCAGCCTCACCAACATCCCCGAGGCCAGCGATGTGGGCAGCATCACCCTCGCCCTGCGCACACTGGGCAGCTTCGAGTTCGAAGGTAAGGTGTGAAGCCAGCAGCAGGGCGGATGCGAGAGGCGTTGGGGCACTCACAGAAAGCGTGCATGTCAGTATTGTCGGTGCAGGCTGCGTACGCTGTCATTAAGGTTGCACAACACTATCCATGGCCCGTGTGTGTTCCCACGGCTGAATTCACTGCAGCGTTTTGGGAGCCTTCTGGCGAGCGTCACCCGTTGTGGGTGCACGGTAACACAAATATTTATATACTGTCATTAGAATTACAGTCCAGAAATGGGTTTAAAAGCATCTAAGGAAGGGCTTGCCTTTTCCCTGGCTGACATAGCTCATGCTCAGGCTGACCCCATCTACACAGTTGCTTCTGTTACAGGAGGAGAAACTCGAAACCAAACAGTAACGGTGTCCCTCACGTTCAGTCTGCAGCTCCGTGTTTGTCTCCCTGGAAAGTCCTGTCGCTGAGGTGTAAACCTGTGTGAGAACCAGTCTCTCTTTTCCCCACTCCCATCCAGGCCATTCTCTGACCCAGTTTGTCCGGCACTGTGCGGATCACTTCCTGAACAGTGAGCACAAGGAGATCCGGATGGAGGCGGCCCGCACCTGCTCTCGCCTTCTCACGCCCTCCATCCACTTGATCAGTGGTCATGCCCATGTGGTCAGCCAGACCGCAGTGCAGGTGGTGGCAGACGTTCTCAGCAAACTGCTCGTGGTTGGGATAACAGACCCAGGTAATGTGTTGGGTTTGCCACCATACAGCTGTCTGTGCCTGGACAGAGGGTTGTGGTAGTGTTCAGGCTTGTTTTCTGATAACCCAGGCAATCGCTCTTTCTAAATAAAATGGATTCCAGACCTCTGAATCCATCCCCAGATTTGGGAGTATTAGCAGAGAGCAAGGGCAGAGTGGTGTAACCCCAGGGATTCTCTATTCTAGGTGGAGGCCTCAGAATTTCACTCCCTGCCTCTTGCCTTGTTGTATGAGCCTGTCCCACATCACAGTCTCAATTGTTACGACTCAGGAGGGACCAGCTCCTTTTGTTGAACCTCGCTCTCTTTTCCCCCTTTTGCTGGGTGGATTCTGTTAATGGCTGAGCGGTCACCTGGGGCTGAGCGGTCACCTGGGGCTGGTTTGCCCTTTCTCTGTGGTGCTTCCAGTCACACTAGCTTTAGGAGCAACAGACTGTCCTGGACGTGAAACCCGGGTGTCTTGTTTGGCAGCACAGAGCAATAGTGAGACACCATTGAGTAGATTCTTCAGGTCTCTCTCACTCACTGGGGTCCTCGGCCACTTGCTCCAAGGTTTTGGCAGGATTGTTCATTGACAGTAGCTCTCTGGTGAAAGAAGGTGTTATGTAATTTAGTGTGTCTGTCAAGATTGTGTAAGAACAGCAGTTGAACATGAGCGAAGACAAGTGACCATGCTCTTGCAGACCCCGATATCCGTTACTGTGTGTTGGCCTCCTTGGACGAGAGGTTTGATGCCCATCTTGCCCAGGCAGAAAATCTGCAGGCTCTCTTTGTGGCCCTGAACGATCAGGTGTTTGAAATCCGAGAGCTGGCTATCTGCACCGTGGGCCGGCTGAGCAGCATGAACCCTGCCTTTGTCATGCCTTTCCTGCGCAAGATGTTAATACAGGTAACGGAGACAGGGTGCTAAGGATGGGGATGGAGTCCTTATTAACTAAGGTGGGGATGGTGGCGTTAAGGAAGTCAGACTGTCCAGCTCTAGAATAGCTACAGTGCAGTGTAGGTCTCCCTTTCTGGAAGGCTGTTTATAACCCAGCTTGATACTACTTAGACAATGCTTTCCTAGTGTGTGTTGATGTCTTCATTTTATTTATTTGCACCAGCGGCCCTCAGAATTCTATGAGGTTTGCAGTCACCAACTTCCATGTTAGGGTGGAGAGGACAGTAGTAACTTCAGGTCCCAACATGTGCAACGTTTTTTGCCTTGAGTGGAGGGGCCTTCTGTTCGGACTGAGGTGGAGTATCACATGCCCGAGAGTATAATCCCATAGGCTTTCCCTCCCCATTAGGGATGGATCTGGTTGCGCTCCATTCCATTTTATAGAAATTAGCCATGGCCTCATTTGGGCACCCTTGGCTGATACCATTTATACAGCTTCTGAGATTGCTTTCTCATTTGACACTCGAGTTGTGAGTTGCGGAGGAGGATGGGATCAGTCTCATTATTTTGCTCTCTTCTATTGTTTGCTGCCTTAGGTGGAGAACGCTGGCTCTCCAGCTTTCGCTTTGCTTTAATGCATCTGGTTTGCCCTTTGTGCAGATCCTGACGGAGCTGGAACACAGTGGTGTTGGCAGAATAAAGGAGCAGAGCGCCAGGATGTTGGGTCACTTGGTTTCCAATGCCCCACGACTCATTCGTCCATATATGGAGCCCATCCTTAAGGTAGGGCCTTCTTAGAATGCCTGCTGACTTTAGGTGGGGGAGATCTTCTGGCACACAGGTGTATCACACAATAACTGACCATGAGCTGCACCATTTTCATTGCTCTGTAATGGCATAAAAAACAGACTGGAGTGTGGTCCCTACTATAACCTTGAGTGTGTGCAACTGCTTGACCTGGATTGACGTTGGATGTGCAAAAACCCTAAAGATGTAATAGAAATATGTTGTAAATCTTTGAAACACGTTGGCACCCATGAGCATCTGTTAGGGGCTCTGTCTTACAGGCATTTCCAGTGCAGGAGTCGGGGAAGAGATTGCTCAGTGCAGGGCAGGGGGGAGAAGTTTCTCAGAGGATTCTAACTTTTTCCTATGTCATCAAACAGGCATTGATTGTGAAACTGAAAGATCCTGACCCAGATCCAAATCCAGGGGTGATTAATAATGTCTTGGCTACCATAGGGGAACTGGCACAGGTAAGGGTATTGCAGCTTTATGTGGAGGTATTATCATTGCTGACTAAGCCTGTACAGTTCTAGATGAGAGCTCTTCCTTCCTCTGTCTCTACAGGTCAGTGGGCTGGAGATGAGGAAGTGGGTGGATGAGCTCTTCATCATAATCATGGACATGCTCCAGGACTCCTCCTTGCTGGCGAAAAGACAAGTGCGTATATGACAAGGGGGGAGGGATAGCTCAGTGTTTTGAGCATTGGCCTGCTAAACCCAGGGTCGTGAGTTCAATCCTTGAAGGGGCCATTTAGGGAACTGGGGTCAAAATCTGTCTGGGGATTGGTCCTGCTTTGAGCAGGGGGTTGGACTAGATGACCTCCTGAGGTCCCTTCCAACCCTATGATTCTATGACATCTGCCCTAAACCATGCTGTCCTCTGTGACCAGAAGCATACAGTAAAATGTCACTGTATGCTATGAAAGCTACTAAGAAACATTAGCTCAGAATGTCAGTCTCTCATGGAACGCAGAGTCCGTTCTTGTCTGCCAAGATGGAAATTGTAGCGTCACTCTGTCTTGTGATCAGGATGCTCTGCCAGGTGTCTAGAGAACCCAGCGTAGGTCAGTGGTTTTTGTGGAAGACACTGGGATCAGGCTCAGTGCTGCAGAGACATTTCCAACACCAACCGAAGGAGATGGAGAAAAACGTCGTATCTCAGAGTGGTGTGGTGTGTGTGTGTTGTATAAGCCTGAGGTTTGTAGGTTGCCATGTGTTAATTGACTTTTCACCTTCCCTTAACGAAGAGACCCTGTTTGTGGAGACTTCCAGTGTCATGGAAGGAAATCAGACATTGAGATGTTTTAAAAGAAGAAAAATGGCTCTGGTAGGACAGGACAAATAGTAACTTGCTGCTTGGCCTGATCATAACTAACCATTCGGGGCTATATTCATTCCAGGTGGCTCTGTGGACACTGGGACAACTGGTGGCCAGCACGGGTTATGTGGTGGAGCCGTACAGGAAATACCCAACCTTGCTGGATGTGCTGCTGAACTTCTTGAAGACCGAGCAGAACCAGGGCACTCGGAGAGAGGTAGGAACTCAAAGCTCACTTCCCAGCAGCAACTTCTTCTGTGTACTTGCATGAGAGGGCGAGGTCAGTCATGCTAACCTTCTGAACGAACGACTGATCTATTGTTGGGGTTGATTGAGGGATAATTTGGCATAATGGGCAGGACTCTAAAGGGGCTGTGAATGGAAGCTAGTTAAGTTGCTCACTTCAGTGGATGGGAAGAGTCAGTACACTCTATTTGGAATACGATGGGACTGTCTCCCCCACCACCCGATCTTCCCCTTCCCTCCACCAGCCACCCAGAGCCCTGAGTTCAGGCTTCATTTACCGTGTTGGCCTTAGCCTGAGTGATACGCCTTGACATGCTTTCTCTTTTTTGACTTTTTCCCCCCATGCTAGGCTATCCGTGTGCTGGGACTGTTGGGGGCTTTGGACCCTTACAAGCACAAAGTGAATATTGGCATGATTGACCAGTCGCGAGACGCTTCGGCTGTCAGCCTGTCGGAGTCTAAATCCAGCCAGGATTCTTGTAAGCAGAGGGAGACTGGGGAAAGAGTGTGCACCCTGCACTGTTTAGTTTTAAAAGGGCCTTGGTCTTTACATTCCAGCACAGGAACTAAAGATGAAAATGACATAATGCAGCATCTGGGTTGTTTCCTCAGTCAGTACTGAGAGGTGGGCTAGATGGATCCTAACCAAGAGTGTTTCCCAAAAACTCCATGGGCTTTACACACAACCAAGATTTTCACTCAAAAGTAAAATGACTTAAGCTACGGAAAGGCAGCATTATCTGTAGCTAGGGCATAGGACAGGGTGTCAAGAGACCTGAGTTTTTTCCCCAGCTCTGCCTCTGAGACTTCAGGTGAGTCACATCTCAATACCTGTTTCATCATTTGTTAAAAAAGAGCTAATGATACTGACCTGCGTTTGTGACATGCATAGAGATCTATGGATGGAAAGCACACAGTATTAGCACTAGAATGCACAAAACACTTTGAGGGTTCCATGCCAAGTTCCCTTTTGTAACTGTTGTTGATATTAGAGGGTTCCTGTTAACTAAAACTAGAGGTGAAAGTCATTTCATGTTCTCCACCTCTCACAGATCTCCCTGCCAAATTTTGAGGTTTTACAATTGCACCTTCCTGTTTTATAAAATGTCTTTCTCTTCCCTGTTGCTGTGTGAAAGGCTAATGGAAATGGGAGATTGCCTATATAGGGGAAATCTGAATACACATGATGTGGTCAAATGTACAATAAAATGACCAGTAGAGAAATATCTCCTCTAATTTTTTTATCTGTAATGATCTTGGGTGCTACTTGCAGCAATAGTCCATACATTTCAGGCAAATGTGCGGGGAATTGTTTAAGCTGATGGTGTCCCCTTAAAACTGTTACACTTAGTTGACGGGGTTTACTTAGGACTGCTTGTCTACAAGGTCACCGCACCACTCCCTGAGAACTGTTGGACTCCTTTGAAAGTTTTCCCTGCCCTAGCCCCTTCTCCCTCTTTCATGGGAATGCAGAATACAGTGGTTTTATTCTGAGAATGAAGATTAACCAGAAAGACTTTTTAAACAATTACCAACTTAAACCCAGTTTTTCTCTCTCAAAGTGCCTTCTAACCTGTTCCATTCCATGTTCTTGCACTAGAATGAGCTTTGTTTCAGGACATAGGCTTTACTGTCCATTGCACAGTTCTGTGCTTTAGGCCTTTATTTCTGTAGCGTCCTAGGGGTGCATAGTGTCTGACAGACAAATTACACAGGCCTCTGCCCTGCAGAGATTGCAATCAAAGTAAAATGCCGAAACCATCTCACAAACATTTCCCAACTAGGTGTCCATGGAGTATGTCAAACTCCTACAACTGAGAGTATCAGTAGTTTTGCCCCCTTACTTTTATCATTGAATTTTGGTGCTAATGTAAGTAGAAGTTCATGTGGTTGCTTCAGCACAAAGTTCTGCCCACATCCCTCACTCCCTGTCTGCAGTTACCCATGTTGTATACCCATTTCCTGAACAGAGAGCAATAATGCTGAATTGCTTGGCGATGGTGTCAGGACGTAGACAGGCAGCTGTTTGCCAGGTGTTTGCTTAAATGAAACCATCAAACTGCCGTCACAGGACTTTGGTTTTGGCAGGAATTTTTATTAGCACTTTCAACTGTTACAATAAAAAAATATAATACCAGATGGAGCGTGATAAACTGTCCCTGAATTCAAATAGATTTCTAAGCACTTTCAATATAGCATCCTGTAAGGCAGTAAAAAGCCCCCTGGGTTCAGCTGTGAAACTGATTGTGTATGTGTGCATGAATTTCACTGTATACAAAATAAGAGAACAGAACAAAAATAAGTAGCCAGATTATGGGCATCTCCAGATGTGAAATTCACTATAACTGACTTTATTGTTTAACTGTAACTTACTGTAAACATGTATGATGGAAATAGTTATACTGACGTGTCCACTCAGCCATTGGCAAGGTTTTCTTTTGTGAAATCCAAAGAATTCAGTGGAGCTGTGCTGGATTTCCATCAGTGTAAATGAAGTCTAGATATGGAATTAAAAAATGCTATTTAAATTAGTTTCCAAACACTAATACAAACAAACAGGGATGAGAGTGCAAAAGGAATGTGGTTTCTTCATAGTAGAGCAATATATGGTGATACAGAAGTTTGAGTAAATTTTCAAAAGGCCCTTAGGGTTTGTCTACACTTGGAAATTTACCAGAGTACTTATTCCGAAGTAACTCTTTGTGGATACACCCATATTCTGGAATAGTTATCTTGGTAAATTTCCAAGTCTAGACAAGTACCAAATGACTTAGGAGCCTAAATCCCTCTGAATGTCAATGCCAAATGGGACTGAGGCACTTGAGAAAATGTTACCCGATAGCTACAAATTAGCATACTGGTTACCACATTTAAAATACCTGATTAGATGGGAAAAGAAGGAAGGGGATATTTCATCTTTAAAAAGAGAGAGGAAGAAGGCAATGAATCAAATGTAGCTTATTCCCAGGAGAGGTTTGTATTGCAGAATATTCTATAAATGGGATGTGAGAGACCGTATCTGTCATGCTCCAGCTATCTAAAAGTGCTTTACAAAGTCAGTCGGTCACTGCAGTGCATCCAGCCATGGAGGCAAACGTCTCAGGCGACGTGCTAGGCTCTGGCACTCTCACACCTTTGGACATGAGTAAGTGTGTCCCTAGGAGAGGAACGTTGGCCAGAATGGCAGGGTTATCCCCTCATTTTTTTTACAAAAGCAGAGTGGGATCATGAATTTTCCTCCCAGATGGCCACCAGGGATGAGCAGCAGGTGTAACATGCAATCAAAGGGCAGATCGTGTTATTGTTGAGACGCTCTTGTCTTAGCTCTTGCCGTTGTGTTGAAGAACTGCAGCTGAGAAAGGTGACCAGTAGCTAGAGTTAAAGCTGTACTGTTTGTGATCGCTTTACTCCCCTCTCCTGCACAAAGAACATGGGAGGGGAGCAAGAAAACCCTGCACATTTCACCTGTTTCCCCCAACCTCTTGTGACAGAAGACATTTTGCAGAGAGGGGACTGTTAATCTTGGAGCTGTGCCTCTACCCAACCCCATAAATCCTAGCGACATGGGAGAATCCTGGGGATCTCTTCTGCAGTGAGCCAAGACAGTGCTGCTATACCGTTCTGTCTTCCTCAGTAGCACTGCTGCAGTACCATTGCCTGGGTCCCCCATGACTGTTTAGCAACATTACCCTGTGCATAGATTTTCTTATAGAAGTGTCCAGGCTCTGTAGGGGTCAATGCTCTGGTGATCATACCTCCCCTCTTCCACCAATTCCTACCCTGAAAGCTTCTGAGCTCCTTCTATAAACGGATTCTCAGCAAAGAGGCACGTGCAGTGGGCAGGTTGGGGCACAATGCCTTATAGATGCCACTCCCCTACTCTTGTTTTTCTTTTTGTGTGCAAAAATTGAGATATCCGTGCAGCCAAGTTTTTTTCTGTCCTCTAAATTTAGGAATACAACTTTCAGGGTCTCGGGGCTTTGATTTAAGTTCTCATGGACTGGTCATCTCCTCTGAGCATGTTGTTAATGTAAATTCCTCTTCTCTCCCCCCCCATTAGCCAACTGTATCTGAAGTGCAGTGTTGGTGTGTATTGTGTGTACACATGTAAGTGACACTTCCTTACCTTTTCCCAGCTGATTACAGTACCAGTGAAATGTTAGTGAACATGGGAAACCTCCCTCTGGATGAGTTCTACCCGGCTGTCTCCATGGTAGCGCTGATGAGAATCTTCCGTGACCAATCCTTGTCCCACCATCACACTATGGTAGTCCAAGCCATCACCTTTATTTTCAAATCCCTCGGGCTGAAGTGTGTGCAGTTCCTGCCCCAGGTCATGCCAACGTTTCTCAATGTAATTCGGGTTTGCGATGGTGCCATCCGAGAGGTGAGTGTGCTAGGAATTTGCTCCCCTCCCACCTCTCCCCAAAACAAGAATCCATTGTAAAGTGAATGTGACTGGCTTTGGATGCTCCTGCACTAAGAGCTGCTGCCAAGCATGCTGCGAAAGTGAGGTACCAGCTTTGCTTTCTCTCCTCTGGGCATTGATCAGAACATCAAGGGGTGCCAATTTTTCTGCTTCTCCATTGCAACAGCTGCTGCCAAGCATCCCCCCTAAATGGCCAGTTCTCAGTTCTGCTTCCTTCTTAAGCCATCCTGTGCAGGTCCCACAGCTTTCAGTGGTCTCTGCAGTTTATGCCCTGTTGCAGTGTCTTTACATGTAGAGTCTTAAACCTCTAGCAAAGCGGTGTGCTTTCCTCCTGTGCAGGGAATTTGACTTGCTGCAGTCAGCTGGCATTCACAGCTGAGTGAACAATGATTCCACAGCACCTCACTTCTTTCTCATTTAACTAGCAATTTTAACTTCTTTCTCATTTAACTAGCAATTTTCACTTAAATGTAAAATTGCATCAGAAGAATGGGCCTCAGCTGCATCTGGCCTAAGATGGCTGGTTATAGCAGAACCTCTTCATCAAGAGTGTATGTAATGGGGAACTCGCATGAGTTACTGGAATTGGGTTTTACATGTGGGATGGGAGCAACAGAATTGCCCCCATTCCTGCTATAGAACCACAGTCACCACTGGCAATCTTCTAGCAGACTGAATTACTGCTCAGATTGGAATGAAAAACCCTGGCGCTCTGGGTTTGCTGGGCGCCTAGACATGACTGACCTAACTTGCTTGAAAGCTCTGCAGTTTTGCACACTCTCTTTAAAAATTTTCAGGTCAAAGAAGATGGTGAAAGTGTACTGGGGAGAAGAGCTGAGGTGGGTACAAAGCACAAACCAGGCAGTTCCCTGCACTGTATGTAAACATCCTCTTGCAACTCCACAAGAACTCTGGGTTATTTTTCAGTAAACATGTATATGTTGCCCTCGCCAAAGAGGCTGCTTTTTATCCCTGGTCCACTTACCTGATTTTCATTAAACCCCATAATCTATTCTTCTGAGCTCCACTTGCAATTTGGAACACATTGGCCTGTATTTGCTATGAACACCAACTACACCACAAGTTTTGCATGAAAACTGTGAAATTTAATAGAAAATGATACAAATGTTGGTTGGGTTTTTTTTGGTTGGTTGGTTTGGTTTTAAATAAGCATTTGTGGACCAGGGGTGCTCAGCCAAATTGTTATATTATTTCACACCAAACTCAAAAGTAAAATCACTACAGTGGATAGTTGCACATGATTTTGTTTTGCTTGATCAAAGTGAATCATGAATCGGACCCAGCAAATGTACAGTAGAATGGTCTAGGTCACAATACTCCCAGGGTACAATTAGCCATCTTTCTAATGAACTGTTAACCTGGCAAGTACTGCAATCTGTCCCTGTAATATTCCACCAATATGCCTTGGTGGGGAGAGGGAGAGAATATAGAACAAAGTATCTTAAAATCTGGGTGAGTTTGGCCAGCAGTCAGGGGCAAGAGATCGGGGCTCTTTCAGAAGCAGCCTCCAGGTCTGAATTTATAAAGCGATGTGGTATTTCAGACTCTGGGTTCAGACTTGCAAGTCTGTTGTTTAAACACCTAATCAATTTGCATGCATAGAATCTGTTTGGTGCATGCATATCCAAAGCTTTAAATACTCACAGCAGTGGATAAAAATACCAACTCTGGGTTGAAGCTGAGAGAGAGAATTTGGCCCTAGACTTCCAGCATTTATAGCTGTGCATGTTGTTTAGTTTTTAAAGGCGCTTGCGATTAGCCTTTGAAATCAGATTTGCCCTGAGTTGCACGGGCATTTGGATAGCAGCATTGAGCACTTACCTGTTTCTTCCTTTCAGTTCCTGTTCCAGCAGCTAGGAATGTTGGTGTCTTTTGTGAGGAGCCATATTCGACCCTATATGGATGAAATTGTCACCCTTATGAGAGTGAGTACAACCCTTAGCCTGAACCCCAGGATCCTGGAAGGTGGTTAATTATGCTTTCCTTTATTGAGCAGGTGGGGTCATTCTTGAGGGAATATCACAGTCACAATGTACCTGTCCATCCAGAAAGAGAGATCGGGGGAGATTAACGAACCTCTGCAGCTGCGGAAGGCAGGGAAATTATTAATGATGGGAGAAAAATATTGATTAATAAAATATCACTTAATAATAGTTTCTTCTTCTAATCCAGTCTCAGAGCTGTTACTCCAGTTTAGGGTACGTGCCATCCTCTCTTTGTTAGGATTGAACCTGGGCTTTTCTAACTACTTTCTGAACAGCGTGGGATGGAAGCTGGAGCATTGTGATTGTAACCAATGATTCGTCTGTTGCCCTAAAGCTGGTGTAATAAGCAGTGTTAAATACGTGGCTTGGGTGTTTTGTTTTTTTTCTTAAGTTGCTTAAATCGGGATTGCCTAATGGAGGAGAAGGTTCTCCCTAGTGTTAGCCTTATGCTGTCTCCTGGTCCCGTACTGCATGCAGCTCAGCTATAGAGAACCTTTTTTGTCTTTCTCCTCCAGGACTTCTGGGTCATGAACAATTCTATACAGAGCACAATTATCCTACTTATTGAGCAAATTGTGGTGGCTCTTGGGGGCGAGTTCAAGCTCTATCTGCCTCAGCTCATTCCTCACATGTTACGGGTCTTCATGCACGACAGTAGCCCAGGACGCAACGTCTCTGTCAAGGTGAGCGATTCAGCCTGTGAGGTGACATGTTGGGTACTGCCTGTCCAGGAGCATAGTCCCATGGGCCCACATCTGGCTACACTGAAGCAAGAGGGGTGGAATAGCCCCACTGCCATAAAAGCATGGGATAAAGTGGTCCAGTCAGTGCTCAGGTGACTGCACTGTGCCAGAGCAGCTTCCAAATGGAGATAGGGTTACTTTAAAACATTGCTGTTTCATGACTTTATTAAGCTGGGTGGCATTGGATCATCTTTCCCTCCAGCTGTTGAATGCGATCCAGCTGTTTGGAGCTAACTTGGATGACTACCTGCATTTGTTACTACCTCCCATTGTAAAGCTGTTTGATGCCCCAGACGTCCCCCTGGTGGCTCGCAAGTAAGTATCTGCCAACTCTGTACTCTCTTCTCCACTCTGCCTCCATTCATCTGTGTTCCTCGGTGGCTGCTGTGGTCCTACGTGGCATAGATTGCTGATTAGTCCCTCTAGGTTTACGATAATCAGATGCACGTTTTACTTGAATGCCTCAGCCCTAGTGCTCTGTGTTTCTCAGATGCACTAATAAATCCTAGCTTTCCCCTGCCATTGGCTTAGTCATTGCCATATTCAAGCAGTCTTGCAAGTGTTGTCACCAAAAGCCCACTAAACTGCCATGTCTATTTCTGTTATTGCTAATGGCTGAGACATATGTGCATAAATCGCTTTTATCTTTATAATCAGCCTTCTCCTCCTATCCTGTCCCATCAATGAACGAGTCCTTTCTGCTCTGGTTTCAGAGCTGCTCTGGAGACTGTGGACCGCCTGACAGAATCCCTGGATTTCACTGATTATGCTTCACGGATTATTCACCCCATCGTGCGGACACTAGATCTAAGCCCTGAGCTACGGCCAACTGCCATGGATACATTGTCCTCTCTGGTCTTCCAGCTAGGGAAGAAGGTAATTTCCTCCTTAAGTGTGACAGAGGGGAGGGAATTTCCTTCATGGCTTTTAAAATGGGAGGATTTAACATGTAGTCAGCCTGGGTTTTAGAGAGACAATGCCCAGTTTTGCAGTCTTTCCAGTCTACAATTGTGTATTGCAGTGGGTTTGCCCTTACAGTGTCTCCCCTGCCCTCCCCCCCCCCCCCCCCCAATGGTTTTTGGTAGCATGTGTTTTTCAAATCAAGCTCTTTCAGATTCTGCTTCTAGCTGGTCAATGAATTGAAGATGGAATCAGTGGGTATATTGCAGTCTTGGTGAGACTGACTAACTGGCTTTTGACTCCTTCTCCCATACAGTATCAGATTTTTATCCCGATGGTGAACAAGGTCCTGGTGCGTCATCGAATAAACCACCAGCGGTATGATGTTCTCATCTGCAGGATTGTGAAGGTGAGTTGGCTTGTATGAATGCAGCCATGTGTGTAGAGTCGGATGCAGGTAGGTTCTGTGCTGAAGCTACTGCAGCAGAAGACTCATGTAGGCTTCTCGCTGTTGCATGCAGAGTAACTGTTTCCATGTTCTGAGTAGTAGAAATAATATAGTTGGGTATTTTGAGACTGAAACTGGAAAACTTACCTGCCTTGTAAAACTTGGGCTCCCCATAGAAAAGTCTCTGAAATGACTAGGAGGGATCTACAATAGTAGTTTGTGTTTTTCCTTCTCTCTCATGTATCTTCTTCACCATTTCCACCCTAGGACCAAGGAAGGATTCTCCTGCTCAAGCCCAGTTTACTACAGTATGTCCCATAGTTCATAAGTCAGGAACTGCTCCATATTTCCCAACATAATTCCATTGTTATGTCCTCTCCTGGTCACTAGCACAATGTCTTTCTGCAGCTCTCACTGAGACAACTGGACACTGATTTGTGGCATATTATTCCACAGTGGTATGACTGAGTTTAGCTTCTCCATCTTCCAGTGTTGGGAGCCAAGATTTCTTGGCAGCTAGTGCTGATGGGAATGGGATGACCTGAGCTCACAGATGCCAAAGATGTAATATGTTATTCTGAAAGATCATCCCCCTATCCCAAATTGAGCTTAACAGTTGGGAACTTCTTGAGTTTCCTTTCACCCAGACAGGTAGCCTTGAGCAGAAAGTGGGAGGGGAGAGGTGGGGAGGGAAGGGCTGTGCACATTAAAGGAAGTCTTAATAGTGGCACACCTTGCCTTCACTCTGAGCCATTTGATTGCAGGGCTACACCCTTGCTGACGAAGAGGAGGATCCCCTGATTTATCAGCACCGAATGCTGAGAAGCAACCAGGGAGAGACGCTGACCAGTGGCCCTGTGGAAACAGGACCTATGAAGAAATTACACGTCAGCACCATCAACCTGCAGAAGGTGAGTTATGGATTTCCCGCAGTAGCTTGCTGCAGAAGGTGGGGGGCTATTGGTGCCTTGATCAAAGAGTTATGTCTGGAGCATCTGAACATTTTTCAGGGCTCTCTTCCATTGCCAGCTGTCAGCCCCAAGAGTAGACTTGTCTGGTGTCAGGGGGCTTCCTTTAGAATTCTAAGCAACTTTGAAGTTCTCTCTTGGTTTTAGAGGATGTCTTGCGAGCAGTTCAGATGGTGGATTGAAAGGGGCCTTGTAGTAACACTGAAGGGCTCTTTCCCCATGTCTGATGTGTTCGCAAGACTCCTTGATTCCGAGGAGTGAGCCTTGGAATGGTCTATCACTTACTTCTGGATTTAACTACTTCAGCTCCATTGTAATGTTTTTTTCTACCCTCACTGTCCCCCAGAATAGCCCATTGTTAAAGGCAGCTGTGTAAAGTGCCCTCTGTTCCATGTTAGAAAGATGTTCAAATGAACTCTCTGTGGTGCTTTACAGTTCTGTGCGTGGATGCATCTCTAGGTATTGGTATGTGTGAGATTATTTAGACCACAGATAAATAGTGACTGGCTCAGGGGGAAATAGCAGGAAAGTATTGACCCAGAATGACAATAATGACTTTGATAAGTAGCCCTTTGCTTTAAATGGTAAGTGCAATGAAGGAACTGGGTTCTACTTAGGACAGGTTCATGGCTACCGTTCCACTAATTGCAGTGCTTATCCTCGGCACCTCTTCCCAACAGAAGGCATTGGAGCACTTTGGCTGGCCTCTGGATGCTCTCCATCTGCTCTTAGGAGGGCAATAGCACAGTTATGATTGGTCACGTGAGCACTGTTTGACCATAGGCTAGATTCAAAGGGGTGTATGTGTGGCACTCCCTCTCCTCAGCAGGATGAGGGGCTGAGTTGACCCTGCAGTTCTAATTCTAGACGCACGCTATTAGGTATTTCAAAGCTGATGCTTAACATTGACATGTGACATTGGGTGTGTTTTGCAAAGGAGAGAGAAGGGCTGCAAGTCTTGCTTGTTAAACGTTTATCGTGCGTGATGGGAACATGCTTTGGGTGGGTTGCTTAGAAATTAGGCTGGATTGTTGCAAATGGCCCTGTGGAAGGAGAACCCCACCAGGGAATGGAAGAACAGATCGTACCAGATGAGATATAGAGCTATGAAAGAGAAACCTCTCTTGCTTGAAGCCTCTTATCTTCTACTTTGGGCTCACATACTGGCACTGCACTCAGCAGCTGAGCTGTCTTGCTTTCTGTTTCAGGCCTGGGGAGCAGCAAGAAGAGTCTCCAAAGATGACTGGTTGGAATGGCTGCGGCGATTGAGCTTGGAGTTACTGAAAGATTCCTCGTCGCCATCCCTGCGCTCTTGCTGGGCCTTGGCTCAGGCCTATAACCCTATGGCCAGGTACAGTCATTCTGTATTTCCTGCCTCTCCTTAATGTGCTTGCAGCAGCAGGCACACGCCAAAAAAAATGGTAAGGAAATGGAAACTCACATAAAAGCTGCTGAATTTTACATAGAGTTGCCTATTGCTTGGGCAGGGAATAAAATGGTTGGCATTCCTGATTGGCAGCTCCTCGAGGTGCGATGTTGAGTGGGAGGAGAATTTTCAATATAATTCTGTCTACTGTTCTTTCCAGAATAATAGAAGGCAAATAAAAGTGAAGCTGAAAAAACAGAAAGTAAAAAATAGTTTGTAGAGCCCTGCATCTCAGATAAGATTCCTCTGCGTGGAATAAAGTGCTCTGATTTAATATCATTGTAACCAGTAGGTCTAGGGCAACTTGGTTTTTGTGAGCAGCCGCCTGTTCATCTCTTCCCTGTGGCTCATAATTGTCACTTCAGTGGGCGGGAACCTGACTTTACTGTTGTCTCAAGAGAGCCTTTCGCTTTTTTGATAGAAGTGAATTGTAGCACGCATACAATGGAAAGGCTGATAGATTGGCAAAAGTTTGGGGCTTGCTGTGTGGGCAGATATTGTGCAAGTGTCCTTTACAGCTCTGCAAATGCATCTCAGTTCTGTCCTTTAGTATTTCCCTGCTATTCTAGCCCCACTCCCAGAGTGCCCGCATCTTCCCCCTCCGCATGTGCACACCCCCGTGCACTTAATCCTCCCTGCAGCAACCCCTGCTATACCCCGGTTCTATTCTGTAGTGAGCACAGACTATGTAATAACTTTGTGATGTCAACACATGTCCAGTAAAAATACTAAGGGACATTCTCCCTGCCCCACTAGTTCAGGCTGGATCCCAGATACAGTATTCAGAGCAGAAAGGATAGACACGCTCCCTGCTGTTCCAGTCCACCATCATCATATTGCTTTAAAAGATTTGATTTTTTAAATTTAATCTTGTTGGGCATTTTGTGCTGAAGAAATAAACACAGGAATTTCTCATTCCTGTGCATACCAGAATGAATTGCAGGGCTCTGCACAGAAGGAACATAAAGTGTTTCAAAACCAGTGCTTAAGCCACTAAGATCTCTTGTGGTTCTGTGGTCTAAGCATAGTGTTTGGAATAACAAGACTCCTTGCAACCACATGTTTTAATCCTGGCTGCATTCATTCAGCCCTTAGTCTACCTACCTGAGTAGGACAAAGTTCTCCGCAACTTGTGTGTGAGCCTCTTGAGTTAGATCTTCAAAGCAGAGATTCTGTGTATCAAACATCCTGTCATGCTTTTTCAAAGATCAGGAATCCATCCCCTTGGCCAAAAAACTCCCCCCCCCGCACTGTTGTGCAGTAGGCTGCGTAGAGCTGGCTGCCAGGCTACTGTCCTCCACCCCCAGTGATGACTGCAATGACTTTTCTACATGTGGTTCGTAAAGCAGGTCGGAAACCCCTTTGTGCTGAAAGGCACTGTGTAAATGTAAGGTAATATTTAATAGAGACAATACCAGGAATTTCAAGAGAACCTTATTTATATTCATTTTATATCCTATTTTCTCTGCATTAAAAATGAATAAAGCAGCTAATTGAGAGAAGGGTACTAAGACCGCAAAAGCAAGAACCTCCCCAGTGATGCATTTTAGTCTTTTTGTTGAGGTTTAATATGTTCTTGTAGTGTGTCCCCACATAACCTCGCACTTAGAATCAACTACAGAAGAGAAGGCTGAGGTTGCATTTGTCAGGGCTTTAATCATCTGCTCTCTTGTGAGTCTGGATTCTGATTTCTAGTACCTCAGCAAGATTCGTCTAGCTGTTAAGCTTCATAATGATCCAAGAAATACTTTGATTCTCTACAGAATCCCTGAAATAGTTTCAGCAGCAGGCAGAATGCTGAGGCAGCAAGTGATAAGCCTCATATTGGAGCGCCAATTTTATGTAGAACTCTATCCGAGGATGGTGGAAAGGGTTTGTAAAACCTCTTGTTGGGCCACGGCCCGAGGGTCAATCCACAAAGGACTCCACCCTCATTTTCACTCCCCATCTAAAGACAAAAGTAAAATTACTTAAAATATTCTGGTCCACTAATAATAGTCTCCAAATATATCCCCAGAGCACATATGAGCATCCTACCTCCCTCTTGTGAAGGGAGACTGAGGCAGAGGTGACTTGTCCAAGGCCATGGAGAGAAACTGTCAGAGCTGGGATTAGAACTCAGGAACTCCTGGCTCCCAGTCCTGTGTTCTAAGTACTAGTTAGACTGAAATCCTGTCGCCAAGTGACCTTCTGTTTGTACAGTATCTCTCACCCAGATGGTTCTTAAAGTGCGTTACAGAAAGATCACTCAACCTATATGCAGTACGGAAATCACTGAGGGTACTACTGAAATGTCATTACATCTGGGGTGGAACAGAGTAGATGTTTAGGGCATGGCAATACTACACAACGGCTTAGGAATGGCAGTGAAGAATTCCATATCTGTCAAACTTCAAAGGGAATCGAAAGAGGCATAGTGCAATTATCTGTGTTTAGAATTTGGAAGGGTTAAAATCTCTTATTTAAAAAAAGCCAGGCCATCTTCAGTGACCACAACCTCAGTTTTGTCGTCATGCTGGCTTCCGCATAACTCAGCAGTGGCCCTGAGCTGAACACAGGAGCTCAGCCCACAGCAGGAGAACAGAAGTTGGTTTTACAGTGAATGGTTAATCCCTTCCTCTAATCCTGTTTTGCCTCCATCCTCAGAGATCTCTTCAATGCTGCCTTCGTTTCCTGCTGGTCCGAGCTGAATGAAGACCAACAGGATGAGCTGATCCGAAGCATTGAGTTGGCCCTCACTTCTCAGGATATTGCTGAGGTGACTCAGACCCTGCTGAACTTGGCAGAATTCATGGAGCACAGTGACAAGGTAAAAGAGAGCCCCTCATTGCGGGATGGGGGTGATTATCCTTACACGCTGTCCTCCCTTCCTGCACCCCCACTCGATTTCTGATTCTGACCTGTTCCTCTCCAGGGTCCGTTGCCATTAAGAGATGATAATGGCATTGTCCTGTTGGGGGAAAGAGCTGCCAAATGCCGTGCCTATGCTAAGGCCCTGCACTACAAAGAGCTGGAGTTTCAGAAGGGCCCCACCCCAGCTATTCTGGAGTCTCTCATCAGGTAGCGTGACTCTCATCAGTTCTGGTTGTGCCTGACTTCCACCAAACTTCCCCTGCCCGCTGTTGTCGTTTACAGTAGACCCACTCCACTCTCAGGCAGCAAAAAGAGATTTAGAGTCTCGGCCATGGGGTCCAGTGTGTAGATTAGCAGATTGTTTGCTTTCAAGGGGGCATCTGTAGCTTGCAGATTGTGCACACTCACACCTGTCGAGTTCGTTTCTCTTTCTGTGCTGTAAAAATTCTGGTGTGAGCCAGCGTCTGGGAGTTGGTTATTTCCCTCTCTCAATGAGCTGGAACCTGCTGAAGTTTTGCAGGACGCAGTTACAGAAGCAGATCAGAGGACTCTGTCTGATGTTCCCTGGTTAGGTGCGAGTCCCCAGGGAGTGGCTGAAACGTAGATGAAAGGTGTTTCTGCACCTTAAAGGAAACACAGTCCGTGAACCTGAAGCTCAGCAGCTGAGCAGAAAGCTTTTGGGAAATGAACTTGGCCTTTTTTTGTATCTATTGTTGCAGCTGAGTATTTCGAATTGGGCTAAACTGGTGTTTATCAGTGAGATGGCAGGAATGACTGGGTTTAAGGAAAAACCAGGAATTACAGTGTGTGTGTCCCACTCCACCTCCCCCACAACAAGGGATTTTCAATCCGTCTGATTCTGAAGAGTTTTGATCATGAAATCAAGCACTGTTGGGCGAGTCTGCAGCCAGTCAAAGTGAAATACGCCACAGAAAAGTCTGAATTCCCACCAGTTTGTCCAGCCATCACAATGGATGGTACCTTTTGTGCTCTTAATATTGTTACTTAAATGCCAACATTAACCATTTCTTTTGTGATTGTCCTACTGGAATAACCAACCACTGCATTTTGCAGTGTGGCAGGAGTAGTGTTGCTGCACCTTCTGTTTTCCAGGATCATGCCCTGCAAGCCTAGCTTGTGGAGTCCATGTGTGACATCCTGTTGTTTTGTGATGATATAATGGCCACGCTGTGGGAACATGCCACGGCAGCGTCATCACGGTGGAAGCATCAAAATGCCATGATGCAAAAGTTTCTCTCTAGACTAGATGTACCTGCTTCACCCAAACCTCCCATTCACTTGAAAGAAAGGCTCCGCCTAAGTAATGTAGCTATATTTGCAAACAGTTAATAGAATATTCTTTATATTGGGACATGATACCTTTGCTCATGTTTTTGAAAAGACTGATTAGGAGGAAAGTAAATGGCCATTTATGAACTGCATGGACTCCAGTAGTGTGTTTGGGATTAGCAAATTTTCTGTATAACTTGGCCTGGTTGTAGCAGCAAAAGACATTTCAGTATAACAAGCTAATAAATATCTTTGTAATTGACCCTCCTTGCATCTTAAAATATCATCTGGTGTTGAAATGCCTGAGGTCAAGTACAATATAAATTCCACAGATTTTGCCAAAGCTCTCTACAGACTTGCTGTTTTTGCTCATATCTCATCCAAAGCTGCTGCTGTAACAGAACATACCCTGGTGAATTTTTCTTCTGCACTCCTAAGCTTGAATAATTAGAGGTACTGTTAAACTGTTGGTTGGTGAGGAATTTTCCAGAGCACGTGTTCATTAGTGGGGGGAAAAAATCTGCCGCTGCTGCATTACTTTAAAAAGCCATTGTTTATGAAATTTGTTCTGCTGTTCTAGAGGCAGCCAATGAAAAGGGCATTTAGCAGTCACCTTTACTTTGCTGTATTACTTGACCTTCCTGTGGTGTTTTGTATCCTACATTTAGGAAATGCTGCGATAAAGCTAGCTGAATGCTAGGCCAACACAGATGGCCTGTTAAAGAGATGCATACTCTCCTGGTGAGCAGAGGCCTGGGAATCAGGAGCTTTTGTTTATAGCTGACTTGGGCTGGATTTGAACTGGTGAATTAGATTATATTTATATTTGAGCAAAAATATTAGAGGCTTTTGACTCTTTGGCTGCAAAGGGCAGTTTCAGGCTGCAGCCCCAGGGTGTGCTCAGCTGTGCAGGGCTGCATTTCTATTCACTGCCTGGACTTGGCTCAGCTTTTCAAAATTCTGCTTGTCCAGCACAAAGAACTTCTGTTTTTTGGATGGGCAAATAAAATATCACATCACAAGGGTGGCAGAAAAGATTTTGTGTCTAGGCTAGTAAAATTTCATGAGAGCTCTGGTTAAACTATGTTAGCTTGGCAGGGCCAGGCTACCTTTGAAGTGTTGTCTTGAGAATGCACAACTCTAGAAAGCACCTCCCTGATTTTTCTCATTTCATATCAGCCCAGACAGCAATAACTTCTAGGTAATATTGTCAAATGCTTTTGTTCCCCAAGGTCCTATTAGTATCTCACGATTGACGTATTTTTCAGTAGATTTTAGCCATTATGCCTAGGATCGGTTGTCTACTTTATAACTCCCTGGCTTGCTTTATGTGCTGGAATTGGGGTGGGGTGCAGCCTTTTGGCCCTCTCCGTTCTGGTTCCAGCTTTGTACTGGCGGCAGTTCAGTCATTGCCAGCTGGCGACAAATTGTCAGGTTGAAAACGGTCAGAAATGAAACGTCTAAAATGCTAGTGACAAACCTGGAGAGGCTGCAGCTTTTATTGCTGTAGCAGGAAGGCCCTGCAATGGGCAATGTGCAGCCCGGACTGTCTGTGATTTCCATTCTCATAGTACGGACACGTCTCTCTTCATTAGGACTCTAAAGGCTGACTCCGGAGGACTGGGTACAGAGAGGCCAGATGAAGGGTTGTTCACTCTCAGGTCACACCCTCCAGAGCTGTCTGAAATTCCTGACATGGTTAAACGTGGCTTTTTTTTTTAAAGATTGAAACTGAAGTTGCAGGGCCCTAGATAAATACAGAGGGGAGATGTGTGGAATTCCCCAAATAAGCACCACTTCTCCCCCCTGTGTACCACCAAGCCTGCTGTAGCATGTGTCCTGGCTCTGTAACTAAAGATCAACACATCTTGCTTGAAACAGAGACTCCCTGAAATCACAGCTTCAGATCCTACATGGGTTAACTTGGTCCATCTACCTTGTGAGGGGGATAAGTTAATGTGGGTAGGGCAGATGGAGAGTCTCTTCGACAAGATCTTGCCAACAGACCTCTTGTCTGCACTGCAGGAATATTAAAAGTCCCATGGCACTATTTGTAAGAGGTATAATTTGGAGGCCAAAATCTGTCTGTTCTCACCTCCCAGAAAATTGCTGTGCCGTGTGCCGTCCACTGGTTGGTGCCACCTTCCACTGATGGCTGTGTTTCTGCAGTGCTGTTTGAATATAGCTTGTGAAGTACTTCGGGAGCATTCAGGCTCAAAGGCACTATAACTGTAGGTGGTTATAAAACACCTCGGGATTTATGGCTCTTGAGCAGGATTTAGTGAGGTGCCAATGGCAGGCCCTTTGTAATGAGGACGGAAGAAATAGCTGTACTGTAGTGGTGAATACTATGGAGTTGTCTCTATCAGGCTCTGATAGAGCTGTAAGGGAAAAGAGGGACAGGTGGAAAGCTGATGCAAGTTCTTTCAAATGCGAATTAGTCGATGCCATTGCAGCACCGGGTTTGCAGGTGGTGTGGCCATCTTGCTCTGCAGTGGTGGTCATGGCACATCCAAGAGGAGGTCACATAAAAACCCCAGCTTCTTTTTGCCTTTCAAACCCATTCCTGAAGCAGCAAAGACTTCCCCTTGCATGTCCACTCAGTTTATCCCTCTCCACTCTTAGAGATGTTAGCGTGATCGGTGTCTGCTCCTGCATTCCGCCCACCTCCTTGTTTGTTGTTAATGTGACTTTGCTTGGCCTTCTAATATGTCTGTTCTGGGTGTTCATTGTATTTGAACTGTCTGTCGAGTGCCTTGAGTGCTGCTTTGGGAGTGGGAAGGTGAAGACTTCCTGAACATTTCAGGAGTCAAGGCTCTTTCGGTGAAGAAATAACCAGAGTTGGAGCAGTCTTGGAGGTGCAGCTTTGGGGTGAACATCGTGGCTCTTGCCCTCTAGGTGGAAAATGCTGTTGTGGCAGATTGGGGTGGGCAGAGCGATTCAGCAACTCTCAGAGGGGTAGCCGTAGTCTGGATCTGTAAAAAGCAACAGAGTCCTGTGGCACCTTTAAGACTAACAGATGTATTGGAGCATAAGCTTTCGTGGGTGAATACCCACTTCGTCAGACGCATGTAATGGAAATTTCCAGAGGCAGGTATAACAACTCAGCAACTCTCGGGGCTCTGGCTGCAAACTGAAGGTTTTGTGCCTTGCCTCAAAATGGAAGGCAAAGTAGAATAAGAGCATAATGCAAAACCATTTTTACCAGCCTTCTGTTCCCAATTGTGAAGTAGTGGGACAACGAGCCTTCCAGCCTCCCTACCTGCTGTGTACACCTGGCCGTGTGTGCTGCTATAAGTTACTTCCCAGAGAATGGCCAGGATTTGAGTCACAACTTAGCAGCACGTCCTGCTCTCTATTAGCTTCCTTATTTTTCCTTCCTAGCTTGTGTATGAGCTTGATTCAGATATTGAGAGATTCAAATTACTAAACTTGTCAAGTGTACTGCTCCCAGCCAGCCAAACCATCATTTCAGTTTGAGAGGTGGACGTTCCTGTGAAAGGATCTTTCCCCGGGGATACGTAACTCTTTGTTAATCAGTGAATGCTAGCTCCCTCGCTGCCTGGCTCTCTGAAATCCATAGCTAATTTATTCACTTGCTTCCTATTCTTTGTGCTGAGGCTGAGTCCTAACAACTGGAGTCTTGGTTTTAAAGACTCCGGCACTCGTGCAGAGCAGCATCTGCCTTTGCAACCGTGTTCAGGTCATTGTCTGAAACAAGGAGCCGAGCCGCTCTTTTATTCCCTGGGGAGAATCAGAGACAAGGACACAAGCATGAGCAAGTTTCTTACTGAAATCTGCCTTCAAGAGATCACTCAGGGGTGCGGAGATGAGGGAAATAGATTGTTGTAGAGCTTTAGGTGGGACAGAAGGGTACAAGTCTGCAATATGCTGTTAAACAATTATTCATTTAAACGAACTTACTGTTTTCCTATATGGGGGAGCAATATATAGCACATTGTGAATGCTACTGTAATCAGAATGATAAAGGATAGCAAGGGATCTGTAGCTTTGAGTCCTGTATGTTAGAATTCCACATTGACTTGCACTAGGAGGAATGTTTCCCTTTGAATTGGTCTATGCCCCTCTCTCCCTCTTCAATCAATGCACGAAGTTCTCTGAGGCGTGAGGAAGGGCACAGCCTCTCGAACAAGTTGCTTTGGTCTTTATACGGTGGATTTTTAAGCTCTCTGAAGATGCTTGCTTTTAGATTTATGCTTTCACCTTTGTTTACTTTACAGATATTTGCTTCTGCCGCATGCTGTGCTGTTTTTGCCTTCTCTGCAATATGCTTTCACCCCTTCGCCTCTCTTGCATCTGCTAGGATGCTTCAGAACTTGCTGTATTCCCTTTTCCTGACCTTAATCCCTCCATGTGTGTGTGAGGTGTTTGTATCAAACAGCAAGTTAAGGAACAAGACTTGAAGAAAACAGGCTTAAAAACGAGAGAGAGTTTATTATAGAAATGGAAAAGTTTGGTATAAAAAAAATCCATTGCACAGACTGCATATTTGTAGACAAAGCTGTTCCAATGTACAATATGAATAGTCAACATATATAAGACACTTCCCAGGAAACCTTTATCTCCCGTTCCACATCAGACAGAAAATTTTAAATTAGGCTCAAGCTCAGTTTTTGTAAAGTGAATAAAAATAGATATATTAACTATAACCGTCTTTTTCTACATATTCAAGCAACGGTGTGGCTGCCCTTTTTAACCATCATTTTCAAGACACTCTTGGGTAAGGAAATGGAATGTGCTGGTTTTCAAGGTGGAACCTTTAGGCAGTGCTTACAAAAAATAACCCTCCAAAACAACCCTGGAAATTCCCAGGTATGGCATCCCACCAGCAAGTGAGGAGTTTTGTACGTTTCTAATTTCCCTTGGCACTTGAGGATTCTCTGGCTTCCGTTAAAGCTCTGCTCCCAGATGCATTGCTTTGAACTTTCAATACCGTAATGAAAGGAATAACATGCTCCTTTTCTCCCACCCCACCCCCTGACGTGTGGGCAGCACTGCGAAATTTACTAGGTGCCTCTTCTGGTGTATTTTGCCTTTTCTCTAAAGCATCGAATACTGGTCACAGCTGGTGGCAATAGAGCTTTCTTCATGGACCAGAGGTCTGATCCAAGATGAATAATCCTATGCATGTAAACCATAAAGCAGAGTGTTAAATATTCCCACATCTGGATTCTCTTTTAAGTAAAAACAGAAAGTTAAAAGCAGGTGGAACTTCAGGATCAAGCATCATAAAACAGAGATTCGATGGAGTAAAGCTTTAAATACAACTTGGGTTCCAGTGACAACACAAACCACTCGAGATTGCTTCTCTTAGTGCGTAATATTATCCAGGATCCTTTGCTGTATTAGAGCCACACATAATCTCTATATTATTCGATCCCTTGTTTACTAGCACTTCCATTAACCTGCCTTTTTCCAATTAAATATTAAAAGACCCTTCCCTTCCCTTCCCTCCTTCACCCCCCCCCTCCCCCGCTTGTGGTTTGGAATACAGTGTCAATGTTAAAAGGCTTTTGGCTATGTTTGCTCCCTGTTCGCTCCTGGTCTTGCTGATAGTGTGATGAGGTGGCACAAAATGGCCCTTCTGTGTTCCAAGAGGAACACTAGTAACGTTGAAAATCAGTTCATTGCAGCTCAGAGAGTTGCATCCCAGTCCCTCATGTGCTTTCCAGTATAGATCTCCCACCTCCACATAGCCTAGAGCAGATGGGACTTGAGGTATCTCCCAGAAAGCACTCTCCCTGGGAGTATAGTCTTGCATGGGCGACTAGTGGCCGGAAGGTGGTGATGAGACTTCAGGAAAGAGCAGGTGCCACATGCAATTGCCTAAAGTTTCAACCTAGCTTTTCCTGCATGGGGAGAATGGGCCAATTAACATGCACTGGAGGAACATCTCATTGTGGATATTTCTAAGATGTTTGAAGGGTTTGAAATAAAAGCCCCGTTCCTCTGTTTCTTGGGTCTTGGTAGAAACTGCCTTCCTTGGCAAGATTTGTATTCACCCTCAATGAATCTAAACACTACAGAGATGGCAAAAAGGAGGGTAAAAGCTGCATTTTTTCCTAAACTCTAACTGGTCAAATAATAAGGCAACCATGTAAATCCCAGTGCTAGTGTAACCACAACATATCCTTCCTGAAGAGGCTGCTACTGCAGGATGTGCCTACTCTAACATAGTGTGTATCCTGTTGGGGGGAGAATGCCTTAAGAGGAGAGAACTGAGCTGAGCCACAGTAATGTTGGTACCTTTCCTCTCTCCCGTGTCTGCCTCAGAACTAATGTGTGATGCATAGTCAGTGTATGTAGCCCTTGTGGTCACACACTTTCTAGATGAAGTAAACCATTTCAATGGCTGGTTTTGAGATTCCAGGCTGTTTCCCCTCAGTGCAGCAGTGTCACCGTAGCTTTACAATTGAGTGTTGCTTCCCCCTAGGGTTGGAAATCCTCTGGGCGGATCTTCATCTCGACTCTTTTCAGAGAGTAGGTTGAGCCATGCCAGCCATACCAGGTGATTCCATCCATGTTTTTGGTGTGTTCCCCTTTGCGGTAGTAAACCCCATTCAGGTTGGAATCTGTGCAGCAGTTGTACCAGTATCCACCTTGCAGGAAACAAACAGAGAAAGCCTTTGTCTACCATTTAGTTAACACTGATGTTCTGTGTTCATGATGTGAACAATTTTCCTTCTGCAGGGAAGAAGTGGGAGAGGGGCCAGGGTGCAGAATTCATTCTGGGAGCCTGTGCCCTTGGCAACTGACATTACATTGGGACAGGAGCTAAATTCAAGACACACTGTCTGGTGAGCCCTTCTTTGAAGAGTTCAGAAATGCAATGAACAGGGCAAATCACCAAGATGATGTAGCCAAATAAGCCCAGTGTCTTTGTTAAAGTTCTTGTCTGAGGCGCTTGATGCACCTTTGAAAGTTTCATCTCCATTTCTTCTCTCTCTCCCTCTTTGAAAAACAAAAGGTCAGCAGAGGACACTGTTTAGTGTTCTTAGCTGGTTGGCTCTAGTATGCATCTGAATGCAATTGTCTGAGGGTTTACTTTGCAACTAAGGCAACAGTAAAGTAGAACAGCTGAATTCAGAAACTTTTCCCTGGGGGCTATAATTGCTTCACCATAAAGCCTACAGAGGTGAAGCTTATCCCTCTACATATTGGGGCTGTATTAAGAAATTTAAAATAAAAGAGCAAGTTCAAAAGCACTCAATTACCTTGGTGATGAGCACAGTATAAAAAGCTGAATAGAATATTCCATCCAGAGGCTCTCATTAGAACATGAATAGAGCAGAGCTCAAGGTGCATGAACCTCCAGATGAACATAATTCTACACGTCACTGCAGCCCATATTTTATATATAATCTTACATTTATTTAGTACCTTCCATCTATAACTGAATATAAAAAAATATACAGGGATAATCTCACCCACCTCTGGGATAGCCAAGCAGATAATTGATGCACAGTACACTTAACAACTGTGTAGGTGGGTCAAGTATTGGCCAGAGACACCAGGGCAAACCCTGACTCCTGTGGAAAGTGCATAGCGTGGTTCGTTCAAACACTTGCAGAGGAGGAATCTGTGTGCCTTACCTTTACGGAACTCGACACAGTCATCCACACACTTGTCGTTGTCCTTGTCCTTGGTGCTGAAGGCTGTGTTGTTGTGGTACCTTAGTGAGTCACGCCCTGTGTTGCCGGTGTAGTTCCCCAGGAAAAGGCGGTAGCTATTCAACTCGTTGCTCAGGGTGAACTGGTTATATTGTGCGTAGCGGATGTTGCCTTCCCAGTCCTGCCACGGGATTAGAGGGGTGAAGAGGAAACAGATTCTGTTTTTAAATAAAATAAAAGTACTAGGCAGACTTTAGCAGCTGTGTTTACCTGGGATGCACGTTAGCTGAGTTTTCAATAGTAATTTCTCTTTTAAAATAGAGACTACAGACTAGACTGCAGGTACTCCACTATGACAAACTAGAATGAACAAATTTTCACTTAGCATAGCAGGCTGGTGAATTACCAAGGCATCCTGTTTGCTAGGTGGTCTGCATTAACATTAAGTTCTATACGCAGAAATCTGGTACACTTCTTATCTTAAATGTGGGCTCACTCAAGTTGGTTTTTCCTCCCTCAGGGAGTGGCGTTTAGATTCTCTGGAAGCCTCACAAACCACCATTTTGTCCATTACCCCATGCTCATCTCTCAAGGCCCTACACTTACAACTGCCATTCTTCCAGTCATGACCTGGACTGATTAATAACTCGCCAGCCATTAATAGACTGGAGAAGTTGCTGCTGGGCAATGCAAAGCACTTCTTCCTCCCTGTGTGCTGTCTCTGCAGCACTCCTGCCCAAAGGAGTGACCTTGAGTCCCTCCAATCTGTAGTTGGGCATCCCTGTGGATCTTTAAATCCCTAAAAGCTGGTCAGCAGCATAATCCCTCTGCCCTGGGCTATGACCTTGTTCACTTCAGTGATGGGCAAAATTCACCTGAGAATCCTTTAGAGTCTGTGGCTCACCCAAGATCCAATCTGTAGCCCCGTGAAGGTTCTGTTACACCGATAGTAAACCCTGGGGAATGTGCTTCTGTCGTGCCCCTAATGTTGTTGCCAGGTCTCTCTCGCATTAGTCTCTCTAATCTAAATATGCGACTCCTTTAGCCCTCCATCGCTGTTAGGAGATTGCACTTTCTACCAAAGAACCACTGTGCACTAGAAGCTTTTGCTGCTGGAAGTGAGAACCTGTGAATTACCTCCAGCTCTACTCGCAGCAGGGTCGGGCGTCTGGAGAGCCGATAGATATTTTCATTCCCTAGCCAGAAATCTCCCCGGATATTGCCAAATCCTTCCTTGTATTGTTTCCAGTCTCTGTTGAAAGAGATCAGGCCAACTTTGCGCCTCTGGATGATGGTCCAGCCACCACCGTCTGTCTCCATGTCACAATACACCTGTAGCAAGAGAGGATGCAGTGCTAACCAGTCAGCAGGGTGACAGGGTCCCACTTCCGATTTCATTGTATACAAGATCAGGAAGCGGAGCAAGACACTCTGCACCAAACCTCATCTGTCAAGGGAGTTTGTTGGTTTGTGCAAAGAGGCACGAAAACCTGATTTGCTCTGAGCCTTTCTCTCTCCAGTATATCCTCTCCATCCCTACTATATAAGATCCTGTAGGGATTTTAAATGTAATATGCCCTCTCCCTCCCTCCCAACACTGTAAAAACTGGACTTCAGTCTGTGTTTTCCGCATGTACAGTATTGAAGAAGCTCTGCTAGAACCAAAGGCATGCACGGTGTATGCATGGCATCCTCACCTCTAGGTCAGGGCTCCCCAAGAATTCATCTGGAGGCAGCTTGTAAACACCGGAGATTCTGTAATTCTTCTGGTAAAGGGATGAGCAGTCATAGACAGCATCTACTTGAATCAAACACAGGAAGTAAGATGCTGAGCAGGAGAAGGGCCACCTACTGCGGATGTGCGTCCTCGAAGGCTTTAACGCAGTTCTTGAGATAAACATTCAAAGGGGCCATTTTGTTGCATCTCCAGTGAAGTGCAAAAGGGTGGAGAAAAATCTGCCTGGGGTGTGATGTGTGCATGGAACAGCGTAGCTTTGATCAGTGCCTGGGGCTGCTCACCTCTAGATGAGCTGTATGGCAGCAGTATTGGTGCTGGTCGGGTTTGCATGTGAGAGAGAGAGAGAGAGGTGGCAGCATTGGAACATGAGGTTCTTTCTGTGGGAGGTGGGATTTCTAAGCCTTTTGTCTTCAGCCCCCAAACAGAAAATACTCCTCATAGGAACTCGAAAGCCCATGAAATGAGACAGCACTTGTTAAAAATGAGAGAGATGATCAGGCTGGTGCTGGATGGGTGGTTATGAGGCCTTGAAGCAAATTGCAAAGCCCCATTGCATGTATAGGGCTAGGTACAGTATTTGCAGATGCTGAAATAATCCATTACTACAACTGTAGGAAATATTTTTGTGCGCTTTAAAATATCTTTCCACTACGCAAATGAAGATTTAACCCTTTCTGTGGCTGCTCAGCACAATACGATGGCATTAAAATTCTAGCACACAGGAAAGAATGCTGAATGTAATTTAGTCATCTCTGGCTTGGTTATAAAATATACAAGGAAGTGGCTTTGTGCTTGGCTCTGGGGGGCTGCGTTAGCACTTTACAGCATGCAGTCTTGTCTCTCTCTTCTCCCACCCATCAGGAGGTGGGGGTATTTTGAAAGCAGCACTTTTGAGAGGGAGGAAGTGCCAGGTGCTCAATAGCGACCCCTCTGGCCTGCTCTGAAGTGAATCTGTGGGGGGCTCCTTGTGCTTGAAGCTCTTGTGTGGTGGCCACAGTCGCGGGGCGCAGATGATGGTAGGGTGAGGGAGACTAAAATGGGGAGCTCTAATTAGCTCTATTCTAGATCCAGGGAGGAAAGGGCTAAGCGTAAAGGACAGAGATGCTGTGCTATACAAGGAAACGAATGGCTTGTATGTGTAACTAGCAGAATCAAAACAGCATCCATTACCTGTTACCTTTATAGTCTCCTAACCTCTTACTGTAGTGCACAAAGCTCCAGCCTTCACAGCCATTTCTGTTTTGTATTAAAATTACCATCGTGTGAATAAAATGTCCATGCTGGGGAATGAGAGCGTACATTCGTTGCCCCTCTATACACAGGTCCCTGTCTGACAGGCCAGACCGGCTGCCTGTGCTGATCATGTGGTTGGGCAGATTAGCTGAGTTTGTGAATAAAACACATTGCGCAATAGTTTCTGTATCACAGTTTGCGATGGGGGAGATGGCATTTAGCTCATCTGAATCTCAGTCTTGGCAGCCCCCCTTCTCTCTGGATAGGAGCTGATTGAGGGTAGGTGGTGCACACAGCTGCTTTTACGGGAGGGGAGAGAAGCTAGCTAGGGTGAGGATTTATCCCTCCTGACAGTTTTTTCAGCATATTGCAGGGTGAATGACTTTCACCTGGTGGCATGAATTCCCTGCATCTGGCTGCTCAAGTCCCTACTTGGCTGGCTTTCTCTGTGTGCTGCTTTATTTTACAAAACCACATTGCGGCGTTAACTATACCCCTGATGAGACTCATTACTGTAAAACCTTTCTGTTTATTTAAGACGATATAAATAGTGAGCAGTGTTTCCAAACTAACGACGTTAAACCTTTTCCTTAAGCAGACCTTAGTAAATACTGGTGGTTTAAGATTTTTTTTTTTTCCCTGTTGTAAAACAGACCCAGAATTACGGTGTTTAGCACATACAACCACCCCAGGCAATAGTAGGCTTTAGAAGGAAGTTTAACCTTGTTGGAATGGTCTCCCTTTGGAGTAGACTTTCCTCAGCATATCCAAAGCAAATGTGCTGTGAAACTTTCCTGCAACACTATACCAGGGAAGGAGGGAGAATTTTAAGCTATTGAAATGTGTTTGTGTTATATCAGGGATTTTGCATAATCTACAACCTTGGATTTCTGAGAATTATTATTCAAAAGATGTCTTTTTTTATTTTATTCTGGATCAGACAGGCATAAAGATGGTGTTGCATCTGCAATGGTGGTTAGAAGTGTCTCCAATTGTTTAACTAACCCCTGATCCCCTACCAGCATTCTGAATGATATGGGCATATTATTGCCAGAAGTTTTCCCACACAAACTGACTGCCTCTCTGTTCAGATTGGGATCATAGTACTTTGGGGGGCGGGGGGAGGGGAGATGTATTAAATGAGTCCATCCCGCTGCAATTGCAGGATCTGTTCTGCTCCCCCAACCCTTAACAGAGCATATCTGATATTAAACTGATAACTGGATCTATGGATTTCTGGCCAAATAAACCTGGCAGCTTTTTGCGCTGTTGTGTCTGCAGAAGTGCACTGGGTAGACTAGTATCAGGGGGTAGCCGTGTTAGTCTGTATCTACAAAAACAACAAGGAGTCTGGTGGCACCTTAAAGACTAACAGATTTATTTGGGCATAAGCTTTCGTGAGTAAAAATCTCACTTCTTCGGATGCATAGACTGGGTAGACTGGCATTCAGTGGGCACAGTCACCAGCTGTGTTAATGGGACATGCTAGCATAGGTTAAAAGTTGGTGGTTAGTTGGGGTTCTGCATTAAGAGGCGCATCTGGGAGCTTAGAGGCTCCGTCCTTACCAGCTGAGGTTTGCGTGACCGTCTGGGCTGCCTGCAGCTGCATGATGTCTATCTGGCTGTTAATTTCGGAGTACTTGCTCTCGGCATCGATGAGCCGGGACTCCATCTGCTTGGTGCTCCCTTCCAGCTCCATCACCTGCATAACCACATTCACCCAGTCGTCTTCCTGCTTCTTGCTCAGCGACCCCAGCATGGTGCTCAGGTTGGCTATCTGCAGCTTGAGCTCTTTCATCTCATCGCAGCAGCCCATCAGTTTGAGCTGGGTGTTCCCGTTGGTCGTTCTCCTCTTGGGAGGCTTCTGCAGCCACGCTGGGTAGATGGCCAAGGACAAGGTGATAACACAGAGCCATGCCAGTTGCATAGTGACTTTCACTGGCATTTTCACTCTCAGCAGTGAGAACTCTTGAGTTCTCTGACTGAGTCCACTGCAGATGCTGTGAGCGCAGCAAGGGCACGTATGAAACTCTTCTGAAAGTGCTACAGCACGCTGGTGCCCTAACTCTGTTTCTCTCCCCCTCTCTCTCAGTGAAGGTGGAGTCTAAAGGGGACTTCTGCAGCCCTTTCCTGTAGGAGTCTGTGCATTCTGGAAGTCTCTATCTCTCAGCATCTTAAATATCTTTTCTCCTGTGTACCTCCACCCCCCTGCAGCCGTACACAGCATTCTAGCCCCTCCCAGCTAATCTGTTCATATCAAGTGCCTACGGGCTGAAATCAACACAGACTTAGGCCAAAAAAGGGGTGGAGGGGGAGACTTCCCTCCACGCACCTCTGCCCTGTGGGGTGGGAGAGAGGGCTAGGAATTCATGGGAGTTTCCATTTGGGTTTTAGCCCTTCCGGTGACTAAGTCTGGCACGTCAGAGAACATAACAGCATTGGAGGTCCAGGACATGAGAGGGCTCTCTAACAGGGATGATTTTGTAGCAATTTGAACAAGGTGACTCCTGTGGGGAATGCTCCTAGCTTTGACAGTCCTATTTAAAGTATTCCACATGAGCTGTATCTCTTGGGTGCTTTTCCGTTTTGATCTGGTGCAGAGACCATTTTAGCCATTTCATCCCATAAACAGCTAATCCTCCTCTCTCCAGAGGATCAGTCGTTCTTGGAGTATGTGTCTTGTAGGATTTGGAACTGTTCACTTTAGAGAGGAGATGACTAAGAGGCAGTATAGAATGGTGACCGTATAGAGCAGGTAAATCATGTGCCTCTTTTTACCCTTTCTCATAATACAAGAACATGGGACATTCTGTAACATTGAAAAGCAGCAAATTTAACACTCACAAAAGGAAATGCATTTTTTTACCCAACATATAATTAACCCGGTGAGCTGATATTGAGGCCAGAATTCTAACAGGTTTTTGAAAAAGAATTAGACATTAGAATTAGAGCATCCACAGTTTTTATATAAAATATAGGATTAAAAATAATCATATTAAACCCTCATAATTCAGGACATAAGCCATGCATTAGCTGTTGGGGTTAGGGAGAAACTTTCCCTACGGCAGATTATTCTATAACTGTCGTCCACAAGGATTGTTACATCTTCCTCTGAAGCATCTGTCCTGGCTGCTGTTGGAGGCAGGAGATGGGACTAGATAGAGCACGGGCTTGATTCAGTCTGGCTGCTCCGATGGTAAATGTCATGGATGCCTGTTTTTAAAAAAATCAATTAATCTCGCTTGTGCCTGGTAGGAAGAAAGTGTGAAAGACACAATTGAGCCATCTTGTTCCACATGGAAGTCACTCACTGGTCTAAAAAGGAACTAGGATACATGGTGATAGATCAATTAACCTAATTAAAACCTTACTAGTCTCTGATGCATCTTATACCTATGGAAACATAACTTGCTCCAGCACTCAGCTTTTACTCCTCAGCCGTGTTAAACTTACTGCTAGATGTTTTGTTTGTAGCGACGGATGAACGTGCCAGCCATCTAGTAACTTTTCAGCAAAGCAGCAGTGGTGTCCTGGCAGGGTTCAGAAAAGTGGGAAGATGAAAGCATCAGAGCGTTTGCAAAGATGAAGCATGGTGACACATTGCTGCAGACGCCATATCTCCCAGGGGAGAGACGAGAGCAGGGGTAGAGATCTCTGAGCACATAGCATGGGTGTCTTGGTGGCTGACCCCTCCTGTGTGCTGTGCTCAGGGCACACCCCTGCCATCTGAGGCATCAGCAGGCAAGGCTCCCACATGTTTCCAGTGACCTGAGATGCCACCAGACTCCGTCAGTCAGGAGTGACAGGTATTTTTCTTTGAAAGTACAGCAGCTCCCTCTCCTCACGAGAGCACTGGCCTTTGCTTGTTTTCTGTTGCTGGCATTTCAAGAACCTTCCATAGCAAAATTGTGTTTTATACCACAAACCAGCATGTGCCCCACACGCAGACCAAAAGCCTGACCTTTTTGTTCTGCATGTAATCCTGTCTGAGCCCTCTTCTAGCCAGAGCTTCTGTCTTTCCCTGGGGGCAAATTTTTGTCAGGCTGCATGTGACGAGAAACATGTTTTTGACAAAAACAGAGACCAATAGTGGAGTAAGCTGGGTTCTTGTTTCTCTCCCCCCACACACACAAAAAAGCACACTCCCACTTGTGTCCCTGCTGTGGTCAAACTCTTGGCGTTCTTTTGAAATTCCAACAGCCTCTTCTATTTTTTCTAAGCAGTTCTGAAAGCTGATCAGTGGTGCTCGGTCCTAAAATAGAAGTGAAGCCTGTCAGTGATGTGCTACCCTCTGACAAAGGGACATGGCCCACCTTTGCTGCTGTTCTACCTCCCTGAAACTCATTTTCATTTTCAAATGCTCTTAGCTCCTGACTACATCTTTATGGCCACTATAGTATATGAATCTCAAAAATTGGGGTCAGGGTATAGGCAGTGGAGGGGCACTTGCAGTCCCCAAGGGACACTGAAATACATCCTCCTGCTTTCAGTCTGGAAGTAATGAAAGGACCCAATGTTCAGACAAATTCTTGCCTTCAGTCAGGGATTCTAATACAGAGGAGAAACTGGTCCAGTGGTGAAGGCATTAGACTGGAAGACAGCAGACTTAGGTTTTATTTCTGGTCCTGCCCCAGGGCTGTTTCCTCTGAGGCAAGTTACTTCACCTCTTTGACTCAGTTTCCCTGTCTTTAAAATGGGGATGATATTCCGTTTGCTAAAGCACTTTGGTGTCTATGCTGTACAACAGCTAACAAGGATCAAGTCTTGGTAGACAAGAACAGAGAAGAGGGCAAACCTAGGAAAATTCCCTTCATTACATCTGAGGAAGCTTTAGAGAGATTTAGACAGGAGTTGTGAGCTTTTAGGGGAGAAACTCAGTTCTTAACTTTAATTGGGCTTGCTTTCTTAATAAGTATTTGAAAGATGAAGCCTTTGTTTGAAAAACCGAATAGCAATCTCTAAAGCAGCGACAGCTGCTGCAGCTCAGTGCCAAACAGTATCATATGTATTAGAGCCTGGTACCACTGTCACTTATTGGGGGTCCTTAGAGCTTTGGGATTCAAAGAATCCCATAAAGAGGAGACCGTCTGTATATTGGAAGTGTGGACTGTACTGGATACAACTCATGAGTGAGGGGGGCTCCCCCCCCCAAACTCCTGGGCTTCCAGGTTTATTTTCCTTGTTCTGTTGCATTCTTTTCTCCTTTCCAAAATGAAAAGATTTCACACTGGAATTGAGAATGTTTGTCTAAAACTGTTTTTTTTTTCCCTTTTTTCCTCCTCTTACCAGAAGGGGTCATAAAAGAACATTCCTAGCAGGATTCCTTTTCATTGCAAATGCTGGTTTGTAGAGAAGCCTTAGTGTCTGGCCCTTTAATTGGTTAGAGTCAAGCATGTAGATCTGTGTGCTTGAGAGGTGGGGGCTTTTGGCAAATGTCTGGAGATGCAGCAAGCCTACAATGAGAATGGCCAGGATCTTGAGAACTAAACTCCCAGCTGATGGCCCCATCTCAGGACAAGAGCATTCTACCTGGCAGTGCTTTGTGGTTAGGAATAACAGGATCACTGTGTATTTTTTCTCCTAAGAACTTTTAGCTTCCACTATAGAAAAGTGAAGCCTTGGGCATGTTTCACTGGTGCTGCAGTGCATGTGACATCGGCTCAGAGCTGAGAGAGGGATATATGGGTTCTTCTCAGACATACAACTTTTCTGAGGATGGTCTTGATACAAATTGTGTGTATCATCCCCTTCTTGTGCAGAAATGTTAATTTTCCCATCACTGGCTTTTTCTGCTTTCTTGACTTTTTGTGTTCTTAGTGCCTTATCACCTGGAGATTAAAGAGTTGAGAAAGGAAGAAAATTACTTCAGAATTTCTGCAGAGATCTGAACAGATGGGCAAAAAGCATTTGGCTTTTAGCACGTCTCAGGCTTTGATCTTGCTTTCCCTAAATTCTTACTTGGGACCAGAACAACTAATGTCCTATTGACACTGGGATCAGAAATGTGCTAGCTACCACTGTGCTTAAACGTAGCTGTTGCTAGCATGGTTCTGGCATGATTTCCTTGACATGTGTAGACCCTGCATTGCTTGCTTGTTTTAGGGATCTTTCCTAGCCCAACCATGTTGTAAATTAACCCATCCAGTCCCCTTTCCCTGGTATTCAATAGCATGATGCTGTAACGTGCCCAGCAGATGACCAATCCCTTTTCACCCCAGATAGGGAAATAACACTGGAATTCTGCTACCCACACTTGATTCTGAATATGGTTATATCTGGCCTGGTGCCATTCCCTAGGCAAACAGGGCTTATATCACTAGCTGGTGTTACATAATTAGGAGTATATTAGTGTTTTCTAATTAGAGGTAGCTATCTCCTATACCTGGCGGGATAGATTAAATCAGTGTTGGGCTTAAGTTACTCCTTCCTCTGGGGAGCTGTTCCAGCAGGTGGACAAGTTCAACGTGGGTGAAGCTAAGATTAGAAGGCAAACTCAGCGCCCCGTGGCTATTTGGTAGTCAGTCATTGTAGAGCACATAACATGCAGCTGGTAAATGCTTTTAGGGACCTAACCCACTGTTGTTGCCTACTGTGATTGACAAGGTGCTTATTAGATTCTTCACTGCTGGCAAATTCCAGGAAATCTACCCCTAGCAAAGGATCCTTAGGGATGTGTGTATTTCCTCCAGATGTGTAATAAGTGTGTGTGTGTAGTTTAAGCTTTGGATATTTTAATAATGCTCATGTTCATTGTTTTTAACTCAGCAGCTCACAATTAGTAACTGATTTCTTCTTATTAAAGTCAAATAGAATTATTGACTGTCAGAGTGATTTGGTTACGTAACCAATAATAGAGAATGTATCCAATATACGAGAGAATAGAATACTGCAGACTTCCAGGCTGGAGTCACAAATCTGATGGAAGAA